TTGCTCTTGACTTGGTTTTTGGACACTTGCACCTTCCCACAACGTCGATCTGTTCTCGCACCTCAATTAGTACCAAATCTTGTCCACCTTTGCAAGCACAAGGTTGCATATCTCACCGTACTCAAGGTCATTAACCAAAAGTTAGAGAACGATGCTCGCGATCAAATCTTTCAAGCATTGTTCTTTTCAAAAGATGACGAAACTCTCGAAGCCATTTTATCCGACCAAGCTTGTGGTGCTACCTTAATTTTCAAAGTCCTTACCACTCCATTCTTTGACGAGTCCATTCGAAGCAAGGTTGTTGAGAACGTTCGAAACGTTTTGCTTCGTCTCAAGGCGCAACCAGCACAGGGCTATAAGCGTCTCATGGATGAGGTTGGGTTGTCAACTCGTAACGGTAGTGCCGGACCAAGCAGAGAGCACAGTCAACAACAAGCAATTGACCGTACTCGACCCGGATCACAGCAAAGTCAAGCTACCGGACAACTCATGCCTCAATCGCAATACGGTTCCAATCAATACTATCCACAGATGCAACAAAATCCACAAATGCAGCAAAATGCATATGACATGGGCATGGGTATGCAAAGGACTGACAGCATGGATTCCAATGTTCAACCTTTCCAGCAATTCGCACTTCAAAGTTCAATGTTTCCACAATCGTCTACGCCCATGATGCAACCAATGAATATGCAACAGTTTCAATACCAAAACATGAACATGGCACGAGGTACTCCTCCAATTAGCAGCTACTATCCTACTATGCAATCAGGATTTGGTGCATTCAGTAGTCCACAATTGGCAGACCAATATCGAGGAATGCAAAATGCCAGCCCTATCCAACCCCCATCTCAGCAAATGAGCCCTGGACCAATGCTAGGACAAAGCTCATTTGGAGCCCCTGGTCTAAATAACATGGGAATGGGTATGGGAGCATATGGTTTCAATGGCTTGCCCACACAGAACATGCAGTATATGCAAGAACCAGTTAACAGTCGACGTGGAAGAGTAAGTTAAACTCTTGGTCTGATGCAACGATACAATTCTAACTTTGCTCACAGAGATAAATGCACAAATTGAAAACAAAAGTTTGTTTTATGGGAATTGGAGTTTTGCTTTACAATTTCTCTACTCTACACGAACTATGAACCAACTTCTTGCCTTCACGACCAGTATCAAATCTTTGAAGACCGACGATTTTGCCCAGGTGTCAAAATCGTTTTCGACCAAAACCAATTTTATGTTCCATGTATATTGTTCATGTTTCTAAAAGATTTATGATTGGAGATTTTTCGGGGATGTTTATTTCTTTTAGTTTTTAGCTGTGATGAAAACAGCAATTTACTATTCCCTCTGATGCATGAATGAGTCATGAGTGGGTGGGGTGGATTGAGCGGGTAGTTCTCGGCGGTGTAGTGATCACTGATCACAACAGGAAAACGAGAAGTAAGAGATATCTCGGACTGCAAGGTCCTTGTTATCGAGGGGAACGAGATTGACTTCTAGTCGAAAGATTTAAGAGCAGAAACAGGTGTTGGAAAGCCGATCAGCAGTTGACGATGGGCCTCCTAATACATCTGGTTCTACTTATCCAAGAAAGGGATCTTGACGGTGTATTTAGCATTTACTAGCTTGGATCTAGTACGTACTAAACCACTATTTCGCCATGAGCATTACAAGATGAACGCGTAACAAGAACTTGGCTTGTGGAGCACTAGGATTTGGTATGGTGGGATAAAATGACATGATTTGGAAAGGCGTATAAATAGGGTGTGGGGAAGTTGATTTTCAAGAAATGTCCAAAAAAACTCTTAAAATGCTAAAATGAAAAAAAAGTACAAAAGAAAGAAATGATAGATGGCGTGTATTATTGATTGTATATACTGTTGTAGAGTTATTGTTAATTGATAATTGTTTTGAGCTTAGGACTTGTGATGAATGGTGAGATGTGAAGTAAGTAATGAGACTGGGAGATGTGTGGGGGATCCTAGTCATTTGTCCTTTATGATTTGCTTGTGCTCCATAACGCCTCGCACATTAAACTCGCTCACATCTCCTGACCGTGAGTCATAGGAGACTTTTGTGAGGTCTAAGGAGAGGAGAGGAGAGGAGAGCGAGTGATCTAATTATCAAAGTACACTTACTATTTATTAGTGTATGGTATATAGTGTAAGGAAGAGTGTGGGTATGGGTATGCATGGATGGTACAGTGAGAAGTTGTCTTGTCTTGAGTGTTGGGTGCTGCTTACTTCGAGTTTTGAGTTTTGAGTTTTGAGTCTTGAGTCTTGAGTCTTGAGTCTTGAGTCTTGAGTCTTGAGTTTTGAGTCTTGAGTCTTGAGTCTTGAGTCTTGAGTCTTGAGTCTTGATGAATTTGGATTTGAATTTGAATTTGGATTTGGATTTGGATTGAGATGGGATGGATGGATGGATGGATGGGATGGATGGGATGGATGGGATGGATGGGATGGATGGGATGGATGGGATGGATGGGATGGATGGGATGGATGGGATGGATGGGATGGATGGCGTTTAGAGTGGGTGGGATAGGGGTAGAGAGAGGTAGAGAGAGGTAGAGAGAGGTAGAGAGAGGTAGAGAGAGGTAGAGAGGTTGAGAGGAGCGCTGGCGGTTGTTGGAATGGGGTTTGAAGGGGTTATTGAGAAGAGCCCTTTTGGTTATTTGAATGGGGTTGAGATATTGAAAACTATCAAAAGGGTTGCTCGGTGTGCAATTTGTCTCAATCATCACCCAGCGAGCAAGCACATCAGCTTCTACATGTTGATGTATGTTTGAAAATTGGGCCATCTCCAAGTAGAGTTATGTGGAAGAATAGCAAATTCTACTTTGAAAGTTTTGGGGTCTGTATTTTGAATCTTATGGTCTTCGATATGAAACTTCAGGAACAGGAAAAAACATCACGGACTCAGGAGGTGTCGACAAATGAATAGAGGTATAAAATAGAAGTTGTAGCAAGGAGAAAATCAGGATGGCTTTATCATCTCTGATATCACATCATGCAGAATAGAAGTATAAATGGTTGTTGTTTCGGGAAATGCTTTGCAGCTTGGGATTGATGCTTCGCATAAGCATCTTTGTAAACAACTATGCGAGTCTGCATGAGATTTTTAGTATGGGCATGGCATTGGGGTCTATGAGACGTAGAATCAAAATACGAAGCAAATGGATCTGATAAGCCTCAACAAGGTTCCCCGCGGTATACGAAAAGCACTTCAGGATACATTTTGAGAGGCTGGTTTGAATATCTCAGCTCATTACAAACAATCGACGAACGGAAACCACGCTTCTATCGATATCTTTCTACATCTCTTCATCGGTTCGCATCTCCCTAGGAACTTCAATATCACCATCGACCTCCAGGAAAGAAATACGAACAAAAATCATGTAGTCAAGTCGTTACGTAAAATTCTATCGTATTCTTTCTCTTGACTCGAGTCACGGTATTGAGGCGGAAACTAACACGGGAAGACGGGAGGTAACGATTTGAATTCTCGTATATTCTCACCCAAGAGCCAAGTCATCAGCCTGCTGTTACACAGATGTACTGTGTTTACCACGACGAAACATTATCTCCAAGATTTTGTCGTGAATGCGTGACACGTGATGTTTTTGATTACCCCTCATCCGACGCATTCCACGCATTCATCAATGTCTCACAACTTATCATCCCGCGCCCCGCGCCGCAGCAGATTCTGGATATAGGGCTGAAACATATATCCATTATTAGCAATTGCTAAAAATCATCTGGCCCCCGAAAAAAGTCTATTAACGGAAGATGTCGTGATTGGATTTCTTTCATCTCAGCTCCGAGCGCTCCGCAAAGTTTCAGTTGGTGATGTTTGCGCCAAGAACAAATTGAGGAGAAGATGGAGGAGGCGGGAGAGGCGAGGTAAGTCTGAGAGACACGTCATATGGGGTGTAATTTTGGTGGATAGATACTGATAGATTACTTAGAGTAATAAATGTGAACAGGTCTGAATTTGCTTGCTGGCGAAGAGGTGAGCTAGGTAGGTAAGCTTACTATGGAAAATACCGACCATTGAAACAGCATTCGTGAAAGTAGGATAACAAGGTATCGAATTATTGATGCTTATGGGTAATGCATGATTTCACGTCGTACATTAACCCACATTGCACAAGCCTAAATCCGAATATCAAAACTGGAAGCGCATTCGAGAATTGAATGATCTCGTAATGTTTACACCAACCGACAACCATGCCTCGTACATACTCTTGGTTTGTCTCAGTCGAAATCGGGTTCCATCTCAGCCATATTCGGATGAGCCTCATACCTCAAAGTTCTTACCTCTTCTCATTACATGAGAAAATGCTTCGTGGTCTAGCGATCGCCAGTGTAATATTCGGTGGAAGAAGCTTATTCTAAGCCTGATTCTAAGCCTGGTTAGGTTTTTGAGCATATTCTAAGATTTTGAACATGATGCAAGCGTAAATCATGCTCGAATCTAAGCCTAGCTTCGTATACAAATGTCAAGTGATATTGTAGCTGAAAGTTCAATTTGTGAAGCTGCGTGTTGTCGGATGGCTTTGATATGTGATTTTGATGTTTGAGAGGTGGATATGGTTAGAACTTGAATTGTTTTGCTGGGGTCCATTCTTTGATTTGGATACCTACACGAACTGCACGAGCTGCGTGTGTATGCTTATTTTGAGATCTGGGGAGAACAAGGTGAGTGGGTGTTTTAGTGACAGTGCCATTGCGGCGAGGAGGTGGATGAGATGGTGATGTGAGACTTTGTTGGGGCGTGCTTGTGAGTTTATGTTTACTGGGAAGTTATTTGAGGATGTAAATACTTGGAGAGAAGTATATATAGATGCTCAACTTCTCTTCCATATTCATCTTCACCATCGCAATCAATACATCTCTCCACACTACATCAAACTTGCACATCACCATCAACGATCAACAATCAAACCCCCTTAGCTCAACGCTCACACCACATCATAACAGCGCCCCTAGATCAAAATGTACTTCACAACTATCGCTACCCTCATCACTTCCCTAGCTCTAACCTCCGCACTCCCTCTCTCTCCACCTCTCAACACAGCATCTCTTACCTTCCACGGTGCAGCAGGTGCTCAATACACACTATCCGTTCCACTCGATGGTTCGACTACTAGCACCAATAATGTCTTGAGCATTTCTTCTATCTCTACGGATGGCTTCGATGTGCAGAAGAATTGTAAGATTCATGCTGTGGATTACACACCCGCTTTAGTTGTAAGTTTTTGAACTTTTCCTGATCAACTTTTACCCTTTTCCCATCCATGCACTACCCTTCCCTTTCCTTCTTTCCCAACTCATTTTCTTCTCCTCCACTCAACAGAAAATGATGTCATGTATCTCTGAGATTGATTTTTAATTGTCTAAATAGCAAGGACCACCAAACACATGGCAAGTCGGGCCACCTCAAACCATCATCGATATCTCCTGTACAGGTGGAGGTTCCTCTTCGGGTCAAGTGATTAGCATTGAATTAGATGGGGCTGCGGATGCGAAATATTTCATTAGTGTACCGCTTGGTGGAGGACCAGTTTATACTAGTACGTATTACCTATTTTCTCCTCTTCCCTACCTCCTTACGGTCAATCTCACTCCCTTCCCCCTCAAAACTCCTCAAAAGCAACACACATAAGAACAAAGACTAACAACCTCCTTCCCACAGACAACGCCCTCTCAATCTCCCAAGTCCGCTCCACATACAATATCCCCAACTGCAAATTCGATACAGTCGATTACCCACCAGCCTTTGTACAAATCGCTAGTGGTGTTTGGTAAATAATTCCTTCTTTCAAACTCATTTGTGAAACCTCAAAGCTCATTTGCTGATAAAATCATTTTCTATCTGTAGGAATATGGGACCTCCACAAACTGTTAGAAGTGTTTCTTGCCCTGCATAGATGCCTAGGTAACTTCATGCTCTCTCGTTTGCCCGTCGAGTAATAAACTTCTTCGGCTTTCGAGTCACGAGTTTAAAGGACTTGATATGGAAGGGCGGAATTGTATGAAACGAGGTGAGATACAAGAAGCAGGATACAACGGTTTATTTCTATTTTTACAACTTCGTCAACGCATTAATATAAGACGGTCTTTACGGGAAATTGGTTCTTCACCTTCAACAGAGAAGACTGAAGAAGCAATGGATGAAAAATGAAAGGGATTCGCACAGCATACGCATCAATATTGGAGTTCCACGCACACGAGCACACAGATATGAATATGGATGAATATGATACGGATTACGACGGGATGATACACGATCTTTACAGCTTGATACTCAATTCATTTCAATACTTTGGTAATTTTTATTAGTTACAGTTACACATAGTATTAGTTAGGTTAGCATGAAATGATGGGATACTGTTATTTTTTCAACTCTTTCTCGTGCTAGGTCTCAGTTCTTACCTTGTATTTTGGATGATATATATGCTGTGAAGTGTCATATAAGATACAATACCGGAATATGAAGAGGGTACGCTGTAGCGAAGAGAGCGTATGGATATATGTCCGGGATTATGCGAATAATGAGACCATGAGTCGTGTCTCCCAAGAGAAAAAAGACAACAGGAAAAGTAAGGTAATTGTTTGAATTCTTCCTAGTTCCCATCAACAACCCTTCCTTCCGTCTCGACTCTCCATCTCACAAACCCTCGAGCCGGAGAGTTGACCGGAGAGTTTTATTTTATTCCATTTTATTTCCTACACTATAAGCCTAAGCCTAAGCTTAACCCCCACTGTACAATGGAACCGGAGATTTGAGCTCAACCAATCAATACCGATCATCATGGATACGAATCCACAAAGGCGGTTCATGGGATATGTTGAGGAAGGAAGGTTCTATGTTTTATATTATACTCTATCTCTGTTTCTATCTTTGTGAAAGATGCTGGGCACGTGAATGCGGGGTTTAGATTGTTTTATTCATGGTAGAGCGAGAGATATACTAGGTAGCTAAAGCCGGATGGATTGTGATGATAAATGGAACCGGAACCGGGACCGGAGAGTTGTCAACATGGTGATATTTACGTATGATTTCTGGTTTCTTATAAATTATGGGTTCTCGAGATAGGTTTGATGTTTTGGGGGGTTAGAAAATGGGTATATGTAGCTAGAGATGTCCTCTTCGAATAGTGTTATCTAGAAGTTTTATTCATCTCCAACATTACTTTATTTCACTTGACTCACTTAATCTTTAGTCTCAGGCCTCATCCAGTATTCAATATCCAATATCCAACATCCATCCCATCACCATCAAAATGACTTCATCCTCATCTACACCCCCTCCAAAACCCTACCTTACCCTCTCCGCCCAAAAGAAAGCTACACAACAATCCCTCATACCCCAAGAATGGCGACTTTCCACCGAAAAATGCCAAAAAATCTCCAGCGTGATGGAAGTCCCTCTTAGCTGCGGACTCTTGAACGAGACTGAATATCGCATCACTTCTGACTACGACGCCACTGCACTTCTTGGATTGTTGAAGGATGGAGTCTTCACGGTGGAGCAAGTAGCCATTGCGTTTTGCAAAAGAGCTGCTATTGCTCATCAATTGGTGAGTTTATTCGTGGGGTGTTTGTGGGAGATGTAGAAAATATAGAGATGTCCAAAGGAGGACGAAAGCTAACAATTTTCAAAACTGACAGACAAACTGTCTGACCGAAATATTCTTCTCCGCAGCAATCGAAAGAGCCAAGATCCTCGATCTCCAATACGCCTCTTCAAAATCAACCGGCAAACCTCTTCCTCCGCTATTCGGCCTACCAATCTCCCTTAAAGATAGTTTTGACGTCGCCGGATACGATACCTCAACTGGATTAGGTTGTTATGTGAATTCTCCCGCTTCGGAAAATAGCGCACTAGTTGCTATGCTCCTCGATTTGGGTGCAGTTCTATACTGCAAAACCAATCTTCCCCAATCGATCATGACAGGGGATAGTCACAACAATATCTTCGGACGGACATTGAATCCGCGGAATAAATCGCTAACAGCGGGTGGAAGTACTGGGGGTGAAGGTGCACTCCTTGCTCTTCGGGGTAGTATTTTGGGAGTTGGAACGGATATCGGTGGAAGTATTCGTGTTCCATCGGTATGTAATGGTATCTATGGATTTAGACCTAGTGTAGGATTGATTCCTCATGGTGGTGTAAGAGATCTTACTCCGCCTGGAACAGATGGTGTTAAGTCGACTGTTGGACCAATGGCGACTTCTCTCCGGGATTGCGAATTACTTCTTAAATCAATACTCCAAGCAGATACTTGGAAGTATGACAGTACTGCAATTTCGATTCCATGGCTAGATATCAAGCCTGCACATAAACTCCGAGTTGGTGTTGCACAAAATGATGGAGTATTTACCCCATCACCCCCTGTTCGACGCGTTTTAAAACAGGTGATTGATTCGCTCAGTGAAGATAACGACGTTGAAATAATTGGTATCGATCTACCCGACGTCACTTCGATCTATCAAGACTTCATCAGCTATATGACACTATCAGGAAGCGATGTGAGTTCAAGAAATCTCCCATTAACCGGCTTTGAACATGTAGACTGACTTCCAAAGCACTATCTAGAACAGTTCGAGCGAACAGGAGAGCCAGCCATCCCATCACTAGCGAAAACTGGCCTTTTATCAGTGCCAGGAACGACTCTACAAGGCTTCTTCAAATTGAATGACCGACGAGTACAGACTGCAAGAACATATCTTGAACTAATTCGCGATGACGACTTAGACGTAATTCTAATGCCTCCTGCAGCGCATACTGCGGTTCCATTGGACTGCTGGTCGCAAGTAGCATATACGTGCTTGTGGAATTATCTTGATTACCCAGCTATTGTGATTCCGGTAGATCAAGTGCAAGATACAGACTTGTCTGATGATTTGAGTAACGCCAAGTTCGGTCCAGATGATGAACAGATCTATAAATTGTGTAAGTATCAATATCTACCCAATTCAGTATAGCACAGGCTGATATATACTCCCAAAGACACCGGTCCCGAACAGTACAAGGACGCACCCGTTTGTGTGCAACTTGTAGGGTATAGACATAAGGATGAAGCTTTGCTGAAGGCAGCAGCCATGTTGGACTCGATTATAAACAAGGTGTAGTGGTATATGTCATAAGGCTATCCAATTATGAGAGCTGTTTTGACTGGAGATGAATATTTCCTTGGTGTTCAAAGTTTTGAGCCTTTTATTGTAGGCCTGCGGTCCAGACTGTTGGCAATCCTGCGCTAGGTTCTTGTCTAGTAAATGGCGGGTAGCTATTCATCAGATGAACTCCTGTATTGCTCTTTGGGATGAATCTTTCTGCCCTAGCATAGCTTTCTTAGCATAGTTTCTTTATCCAATTATTAACCTGCAAAGCTGCCCCCATACGACAAATTTGTGTGATATTTGTAACAATAAAAGCTTAGAAATATCCTTTATAGGAATATTAGCTACATCCATCAACCAGCCGAACAAGTCGCAGTAAGAGCATTCAACACAGGACATGGTTTGTGGATTGAATCAAACCACCTAGTTGTAACATCCGCATCTCTCTCATGCCAAACTCTCAACAAAAATGTCTTTGTTGCCTTTTGCATAAACCGAGCGAAATCATCCACGCAATCGTCTACGCACTCAAGCGTTTTGACCCGTAAATTTTCCTCTCTAACCTCAACGGCAGCGATAATAAATGGCAATGTTACAAAGCGCATAGGTTTTTTGGTGACTAATCTTGCCATTTCAAGCTCCATCATTACTTCTTTTGACCAGATTTCCGCTTGAGAATCTTCCTGACCAAATGGATATCGTAACCGATGACCCACTAGGAGAGCTCCCAAGCGGTAAATCTTGGCTTGCGCAAGAAGATGAACGATTTCCGTCGAATCAAAGCGCTCAATGAGTCCATTCAATTGAGATGGCTGCCATGGCTCCACAATGCAATGTATTTCATCTAGCTGTTTTTGCAAACGAGCCAGGACATTGGTGTCAGTTGTGTTAAGAAGTGTGTTACTGATGACACATAGATCATGATAGTAGGGTAATAGAGGTAAACAGAGGCCAAGACGACAGTCAATAACGACAGAGGTTGGTACCCGGATCCTCAGTATCGGCTTTTGTCGATGCATAAGACAGTCCATAGTTTCTAACAGGATCAAGAAGCTTCCCCATGGATCATCTTGTGCATCAGAAACTGTCGTTGTCATGAACGGAGTAGTTGTACCTAGACAGTGACGGCAAATATCTGGAACTCCTACGCCGATTGCGGAAGATATTGAAAATGCAAGTAACCCTCCCAGAGCATGGCATAGAACTGCATCTTGTGAAGATAGAACAGGCAATGAACGCAATGCGTCCATAGCCTTCAGTATATAGCGAACACTGAAAGTTGTATCCGCATCGCCTGTGGTGCCTGTTTGTAATTGTTTCACTGATAGAGCACATGCGAGAAAAGCATCCCTGAAAGATGGTAGAGCACTTGATAGCTGAACAGAAAACAATTGCTGCTTCCCGGATTGAGAGCTTGGGTACGCAATGAACCGATCTAGATTTCCTGATTGGCTTAGAAAAAACGACAACAACTCCTGCTCTTCTGGCTGTAAATCAGGAAGCACATTCAAAGGTGAACCAATGATAGGCTTATTTTGCGCCAGCTTTCTGGATTTCTTCGAGGCCAATCTAGTCACCGAGTCTGTATATTGTGCTCTCCTGCCCACAGGCCGTACAGGCCGCACTGTTGAACAAGTCACACTTAGCCTAGCACATCGTGCACAGTGGGCTGAGGGAGATGCGCGATCACATCTTTCTTTGAGCTCGTAGCATCTGTCGCATGCAGTTCTAAACTTCGATCTCCTAGTCACAGACGCCTGCATGTCGCTTACAGAGGGTGGTGTTGAATAGGATTATGGGTTGAGAAGATTAAGAAGAGACGAATGCTTCAGTAGACACATTCAATTCCCTCTATTGAAACGACATTGGACAAGATAAACTTGTTAGAAAGCATGCCTCGTTATGCTTGGAAGAAAGTTCTACTCGTCGATTCAAGTAGGTATCACTCGTCACCTCATTTAGAAAAGAAGATGGATCAGTAAAATCTAAGCACTCAATTCATGCACTATTCTATCGTTTGCTTATCCGCCAGATTATGTAATCGAGCCACATCTTGGCAAATAATGGTGCCCTCAACAAGCATTTCCTAGACACAAGGAGAGGGTGTAGTCGTACATTCTGCTTTGCTTTCGTTTGTCTTTTGAGATGAGGGATTGACCTGAATTGAAGTGAAAAGGGAGAGTGAGATGACACATGAGACGGGCATCAGAGGTGTATTAGATACGCTTCTTGAATGTATTGAATGCATTTTTCGTGTGGATGTGAAAACAACCAGTCAAAAGCAGATCGAGGAGGCCTTGAGTGACTTTAATCTTCCAGGAAAAAACTGTATGGTATGTGCTCATTCTCAAGGGGGTATCGTATCTATCTACCAACGCCAAATCTCAGCAATTCCATGGGAGAAAGTCCGCCACCAAGCATAACCCGCAAAACCGCGATCTAATATCCAGTCCAGCGCCAAAAGAGACAAACGAAGGTGCATAGTATCCAAGAATTGATCACCACAACATCTTGTCTATCTCCCGGCAAAATCCCAACACTCAAATCTAGAAAGCAATTTCGCCAGTGCCCAAACCTTGACACCAACGCCACACCATCCCATGATACCTAAAAACTCCATGACTATACCATGTTGAGTAAACACATATCCAGCGCATCCAACACCCAGACCAACTCAGATTATATCAAATTCGTGTCCCATACGCGGCAGAGAGAATTGGAGAAGATACATCGAGGCCCCATCATCAGTCACGAACGGTATATTACCCACCTCAAACTCATTATTGACAATGAGAATATCCGACGCCGATGAGTTCCTGGTTACGAGTCCCCCCCATCTCTGATCTCCCTCATCCATGAAAAGAGTAAACCCACCTCCAAACATATGATTTCCTAATACCAAAATGACGGTCCAAGGTCTTGTCTTTGATAGTTGTCTTGGTTTGAAAGCGCAATTGGCTACGATTCTCACCGTTTCAAAACAATTTTGTGCTAATTGTGGTAACCTATCGACTGCAGGTTCACCAACACAAGCATTTCTCAATCGAATTGCTTCATCGTAGACATATGGCTGCGTTTGACGAAAGACGTTGGCGCAGGATCTGATTACCGGCTCCATTCTAGCGACAAATTCCTTGTATGCATTGATTCGTCCATGTCTGACTCTCCCAACAGACGAATCCGTGTCCCACAACATCAACTTGCATGTTGCACCCGTATACCTAAAGCTAGCATTGAGAGGTCGTTGGTTGTGCTCTAGTCTCTGTCTATACAGGTTCGCGAAGGTCAAAAACTTTTCAACCTGAAAAGCCGAGTATCTGTCAAGCAAATCGATATTTGGGTGACCGAGGTCGCGAAGTGGCTTGCCTAGACCATTGACACAATTGTAGTATAGACCCTGGACTGCTGTACTGATTCTACTCATGTCGAATTGAGTGCCTCTCAGTTCTTCTTCGGATGCAGTATGGCTTGTAAAGTCCACTGTGAAATATACTATAGGTGCCCAAATAATGTCATCGAAAGGTCGATCTAAGTCGTGATCTATGATGGCGGCTTGTACAAGCGCAGCAAGAGGAATAAAGTTGTTTGGCGTCAAAGGGCGATCAGGGTATACAAAAGTAAAATCGTCAAGCTCAGTGGCATTAGCTTCCCAGCCCACAACTTGCGACGCAAAGCGATTCTCTTGTACAAAGGCTAGTGCGCAGTCAGCAGTTGATGCAACCAGAACCATTTGGGTGTATTACCAGGAGTAAGAATGGAATCATTTGCAACAGCAGCTCCATAATAAACGGGAGCTTCATCTTCTGCTGCGCTATAGTTGCCCTGAAATTGCATCTGCATCTCCTGTCCCGCAATCTTCTCTGTCGTATCCTCCTCCATCATGTACCCATGCACATATTCCTGCATACCTATCTCTGAGTTATCCATAATGTACTCCATACCATTTTCTTGCATGTGCATTTCCATGGCCGCGTTATTTATTGTTTGTCGTTCCATAATTCTTTATGCGAAGTTGATGATACCCTTTAAATTTTGTCAAGTTTCCTCTTTCAAGAGATCAAAAAGAGTTGCGAAATCTTAAAGGAAAGGAAGGTGGTCAAAGCAAAGAATACATGAAACTATACAAACCTATGCGGCACTTTGGTAACTTTTTTTTTCTGAGCTCGAGGTAGACTGATGTGGAAATCAAGACCTGAATGTGAACTTTTGGGAATGAAGGGGGATTTCGGTTAATCTTGGGCTCAAGGGTGGATTTGAAGCTTTGAAGCCAGGAAAGCTTTGGTGTATGAAAGAGAAACGGAAAGTGATGTAGATAGGAGGTATAGAAGAACAGAGGGTGAGGTGGAGATGAAGGCTATAGGAACATGGGAGTCTGATAGTTGCCACGAGAGACATTGTGGCTTGTTCAGCACATTGAAGTTTGAGATAATCTCATATGGAGATTGTAGCTGGATGTTTGAGGCTAAAGGTGGGAAAGGACGAAAGAAGAGAAAGAAAAGCTGCATAGGAGGACGTATGAATGGACGATTAAGTGGAGGATGAGTTAAGGCGCTCAGGTGAAAGCACCAGGCAAGTCAAATACATGGCTTAAATGCAAACAATGAAAAGGTTATGAAAGCACCAGGCAAATTAACTGCAAGGTTTGAATGCAGACAATGAAAATATCATGATAGCACAGGATGACTAGAGGGAGTTGGAGAGACTAGGGTTGACTGTGTAAGCCATTCAGTTAGGGGCCCTCAAACGCAATCCCTTTAAGCGATGTAAAATCTAGAGTTTGAGTGAGGTATACTATCTACGCTATTGCTTTGATATTTCCACCGCTATGTACCATATGTGGTATAAACGCGACATCAAGAAACGCGCTCAAAAGCACGATTCAAACACGTTACACCCGAATCAATTCGCGCTCATAACTCCCTCCCATCTCACCCTCGCAACCTCCTCATCTCTCTTCCCCTTTCTCGGAACCAACATCCACAACCCCGAGATCGTCACCAAAAGCGCTAAAACAACTGGTTGCAACGCCTTTACCCCCTTTGCCTGAGCCAGCGCTCCCACAATAAAAGGAAACACTGCTCCTCCACTTCCTCCAAATGCAGTCGCGAACCCAATACTCCCAACATGTAGTTCCTTCGGCATGAGTTTCGTGACCAATACGATAGCTGTTGGGAACAAAGGGCCAAGGAACATTCCCAGGAATGCTATTGCAACTGCAGAAACGTAGAAGGAGGGGATGAGCCAGAAGAGAAGTTCAAGAGCTATGCAAATTCCAAGGTAAACGAGGACGGATGTGAATTCGCCTAGCCAAGCGGTTAGGAAAGCGAGACCCATGCGGCCAACCGTCATACCGGCCCAGAAACCGGTTGAGGTGAGGGAGGAAGAAAAGGTTGTGCCGGAGCGGACTTGGGTCATGAAGGTTACGATCCAACCGCCTAGTGATACTATGATGATTGTTAATATTCTGAGGCGTGGTGATATGTAGAGAGGAAAAATACCTTCAGCTCCTACATAACCAAATATGAAAGCTGCGAATATCCATGTCAATTTGTTACTTAATGCTTCTCGAAGTCTTCCAGTCTTAGCATTGACATCTCGAGGATTCTCCATTGCGTATACATGACCTGTTTGAGCCCAAAATGCCCATGCCGAAGTAATAAGCTCGGTGGCTGCTACTGCTGTCTGTTTCTTGTCAGCCAACAATTCTTGACGGGATGATTTCCAGAATACACGCAACACTAACCATGATATAATAAAAATAATACCACTCCAACCCCGTCTTGGCTAGCATCCCCGCAGCGATCAAAGGTGCTACTGTTCCGCCAAAAGAATAACAAGCTTGCAAGAAGCCTTGCACCTGATTCGCACTAACCATGTTACCAAGCCAAGCACACCAAGCCGCATCCACAAGTCCATTACCCATTCCTACGAAGACATACATGACGACGAGAACTGGATAGGGGGGATGAAGTGAAATTACTATATAAGAGACGAGATGACATAGTCCTGCGATGACAGCCACACCTCTTTGCCCGAATTTCACATGGACGGTGTCATTGATTAAGGAGGCGAATGTATAACCTGCGAAGGGGGAAAGGAAGATCAGGGAGATGACGGTGTAGGATAGGCTGTAATATTGTTCCAGCTTGATGTATTTCTCAGTATAAAAATTGCTATTTGCAAGAGCACATGTGACTTACGTATGGGATTAAAGCCTTTATTCGTTTAGTATGTGATGTATCTGGAAGTGAAAGATGGAGTGAAGACTTACACCATAAGAACCATCATTCATACCCATGAGAAAGAAACCCCAAAATGAAGCTCCCACTCGATATACATTCTTGTGAGGATAATTCCATTTCTGTAAAGCCTCTACAGCATTATTTGGCGGAGTCGTATCTTGTCTAACATCTTCTGGATCCGATTCGCTTTGTACAACTCCAGTATTGGGAACCCAAGGTGAAGAATTATTGGGAAAAGATTGAAGTTCTACTTGGGTCAGAGTTGTTGTCGCCATGGTTGATGTGTTGAAGTTGAGATGGTTGTGACGAGGCAAATATGTGGAGGAGGAATGTGAAGATAACCTTAATAAAGAGATTCACTTAATCATCAATGTGCATATGAAAATGATTCATGCTCACCACAATCATTATTTGTTTGCCTCTTTGCTTAATATCGCAGTAATCTTCGCGATTATATTTTCCGGGGTCCTGGGCCAACAGTTATAGTGTGGGGGAAGTGGCTCGAGAGTGGAGTGGGTCACCAATCTGGCAAGACCTCGAGACTCGTCGACATTGACTAATCATTAAAAATTCATGATGTAGCATTTCTTAACAAATCGATAGTGAGTGCATCTGTCTAAAGAGACGGTGAAGGTAAAAATGCCTCCTCCCACCCTCACCCATCCAAAGTGGTTCGAGAGTAGGTCATAAATCTGGCAAGACCTTGACTCGTCGACGACCAATCATCGATACCATAGATTTCGTTGCTTTTTATGAAACCATCATTATACCTATCTACTAATTCCAGGACGACGGCAGAAAAAGTAAAAGTGCATTCTCCCACCCCCACTCTTCATCAAAAATCTATCAACACCTCAATGCCATCCAATCACCATCCCCAAGGCATCCAAACAAGCATGTTTTCCTTTTCCGGTCTGACTCGGTCAGTGACGCTTCGAACTATTCACAAGCCGTTGATAAAGGCATCCTGAAGAAATTCATATCACAAAGTGTCGCGTATCCCCCTGGCTAATCCCTGGCAAGGGATGAGCTTCCTAGTCGGAGTTGACGGGAGCGTGGCCCGAAAGATAGGCATGCAGACAATGCTTTGTACGATATCACCCCTCGTAGCTTGTTACTGCTTTTGCGTATAACACCGCTCCATTGGTCGGTCATAAATACGATTCTTGCCCAGCTTATCAACTGGAATTTGTGTATCACTCCCCCAATTCCCCCTCCCCGTCAGAGAATCAAGAGCCGAGCATACAACTCAATCATCCCTACAATGCCTTCCCACAACAACACGTTTACAGCACACTCAGTCAAATTTTAATCTTTTTTCTTATCATTCATCTCATCTAATCTGATAGAGTATCACTACCTAGTTTGCCCCCACCTCTCTCTTCTCTCTTCCTATTCTTCCTTCCTGCCCGGCTGCTTGCAAAAGCTACCATACATCTTTCTTCCTTCCGATAATCCTTATCAGCAAGGAAATCAAAAGAAACATGAAAATCCCCTCTCCTCAACCCCTCTCCATACCATCGCAAAACCAAATGATATGTGATGTAATATAATATGATCCACCCTTGCCTCCTCTCGACTACACGATGCATCCATCGAATCATCTAATACTTATTGAAGTATCTGATATTTTCCCATTTTTTCTACCACACCACCCACTTCATCTGTCATTCAAAACCCCCAATCTGGTTCCCTTTGTCGAAGAAAAAAATCACTGAATCCCATCTGCCATCCTCACACGCAATCCCCTCCTCGAAAATTAAAATCCCTTAAGTCTGCAAACCCCTGAAAAGTCAAAATGAATAAGGACTCCACTTAACGCCATGCTGCACCAATGATTCCCGCCTCAATCCCTCACTCTGCCGATGTGCTTTCGCATCATCTGCAGAGAGTTGTTTCGTATGATGTGTATGATACAAGTCTGAATGAATTTTTGTGTTCCCCCCATCGATATGAAAAAGAAGCAAGATTGAAAAGTCGCAGTCCAAGTGCGAGAGAAACGGAAAAGGTTGCATGCTAGCGCCAATACAATGAAAATAGAATAGAAGGCGAGCAATTGGTTTCAGCATGACTAGTTATGCTTCCTAGTGAAACCGCTTGATGAGAAGACATGATCAGTCGGTGATAAGACCACAAAGAGGAAAGATGTGATATCTATGCCAAGACATTATCATGTGATGACGATGTCACGAGACAAAGCTGTGTAAGTCACCAGTTGGTACCATATCCCATAGTCAAGCTAGATCTGATCAACCTAAAATCATCCCAATCTAATGATCGGAAATCAGGAAATCAGGAAATCACAAGTCACCCTCTTGATTATCCACTATCATGCCGTCGTCGCTATCAACATCGCCGGAGGTCGAAGCTAGACGTTCTTGAAGGAAAGCGGTCATAGCAACCAAAGATGATTTGTCAGCTTGAGTTAATGGCTTTTTCTTGGAGAGCTTGGAGGCGTCTCCTTTTGCGATTAACTTAATAACTGGTTCATCGGCTTCGGACTAAAGAATTTTAGGTTAGATTTGTGTTACGTCATTGTGTTACGTAGATTGGAGGCGTAGAGTATAGGGACTAGAATACTTACAATTAAGGCATCAATAAGGGTTTGTGTAAGGTTAATCGTTGGATTTGCAGTGGCCAGATATGCAAGATTGAGAGCAGCTTGCTGTTCATCGAGACTACGACTGTCAAATTCGGCAGTTTGTAATCGTGGTTTCGAAGTAGATGCCCGATTGTTTACAAAGCCGCGTTGGTTGTAATGTCCAAATTCACGGTGAACACTGTATGATCAATTAGTAAATTGAGCATGCAATAATTGGGAAGAACAACATACCGTGAGATGAAGTCGAGTTTGATACCCTCCTCTGGAAGCTTGTACACATGGCCATACTCTCTCTGCTCATAAAACCCGCTGCCTTGATCTTCGTCTTCAGAAGTAGTGTTCTCAATCTCGATATGACCATTATTTCTAACGCCACGAGCAAGAACAGGCTTAATGAGTGAAGCTCCTTTGATCTTACGGAAACGATGGGCTGGGCCTAAAGATCCTGGTACTTGTTCGAGAAGATCATCAACATGAGCTGGACATCTCCAAGATCTTCCAGGTGGAGGCTCTTTTGCAAGTGGAGGGTCCAAACAGTCCAAATGCCATGAGAGACTGCAATAAGTGCAAGGAATAATTGCCCGACTTGGATGAACAGCTGAGAGGTGACATCCATGACAGAGAATTGGATTTCCTTTGTTGTCCTTTAGCTTAAAGTAATCCGGAGCTTCATCGTAGCCACGGTTATTCCTGTTGTAATGGTTAGTAAGGAGAGCCAAGATAATTACCACCAGATGTAAGCTTACTTTGGTTTTTGTACAACACCTTCTTCATACTCCCCTTCAGTTCCGGTCTTGACATTCTCAAAATATTCCCGAATTGCCTTTGGAAGATGGAAAGCGCTTGGATTCTTTCTCTCCATGTTTGCCAACAAAGGGCCAAAATAGCCAACTTCTTCATCCTTAGATCGAGGAACACTTTGTGCAAGACATTCGTTACAGAACCATTCTTCCGTTGTTAAGGTTGGTGAGTCTGGTGAAAGATCCACACATTTGAAGTGGAAGGAGCGAGTACATCCATCACAACAAAGTAATTTACCGTTACCTCCACAAGCTGCACAATAATCGTCGTTTTCTCCAATAGTTCCACTAGCCTTTACACGCATTTGTTAGTATCCCTCCTTCGAGTATTTCCTTACAATAACAATAATAATGACTCAACAAATGAGATGCTTGTGAATGATGATTGTGAAGGTGGCAAAGTTTCATGTGTGGGGGCTGTTCAGGCTCGGCAATTACGGAGATGGATGTGATGTGAATAATCCACAATCCACAATGGACCATCATCAGAGTTTGCGCTATCCGCCCGGACTTGCTGCTTTTCCCTCTCTCTCTTCAACTTTGTCACCAAGGACAACCCAGCCCCCCAAATATTGAGTATTGAAATACAACATAACGTAATGAAAATTCAACCATATTTCAAAATGCATTGAAATATCATCAAAATCATTACTTCATCATCATCATTTATCCAAAGACAAGCGGGATTCCAATAAATGATGAAATCTCACAATGATGATGATGATGATGATGAAGATGGCGATTTTTTGTAGATGTAGAGTGTAGAAAAAGATTTAATAAAGGGTTAAAGGATAGCTAGCAGCTTGAATGAAGTAAAAAGCGATAATAAAAAGCGATGAAGAACTTTACAGCATCGTCTAATTTATCGTTTCTCACATCGTCGTCGATACCCTCCATAGATATATAGAAAACCAAAATAGCTTACTTGTTGATTTGCATAATAACCTCCAACTGGACTATCTCTTTCACCGCTTGCTCTTGGGATACCAGCTGAAGGACCACTCTTTTTCTTCATTGGTCTGTGCGAGGGAAAAGAATTGTTAGCGAAATATTTTCATCATTTAAATAAGAAAGAAAGAAGAAAGAAAGGTCAAGTTCAATTCAAGGTGAAAGAAAGTTCCGGCTGTCACACTGTGTAACCATAAAACACAACAAGTAGATTGACAAGCACAGCAGAAGTACTTGAAACAATTTGTGGAGGGGCGAAGATAACCGGGGATGCAGGGTACTGAATGATGATCAAAAGATACAAAATCCTTCAAAAAATGTAGAAAATCGGAAATCTGACGTGATATCAAAAGACATAAAATAAAATAATATATGGGAACTTACGAAGTTTTGACACGTAAACCTGTGCCATTCTTTGCCTTTCTAGATGGTCGATTAGATGAGGGTGTGCCGGCACGTGAATTTGGTAACGATCCAGGAGGTAAGTCTGGTTGAAACCCAAGTCCTGTCGGTGAACTCATTTCTGAATCGTAATTGTTGACAGGAGCAGTAGTAGTTTGTCTTCTACTAGCTCGATCGTTCTTAGTGCCCAGTCGAATAGTTTTGGATGGACGACTAGAAGCTGTTGCAGATGCAGTAGGAATGGAAACAGAATCTGCATCATCAGATGCATACTCAACAGGTCTACGAAAACTTGGAGGAGTGACACTTCTTGGCTGTATATCTGGACGAACAAAGCTCTCAGTTCGTATATCCTCAGTGATACCGTTGGTAATCTCTCGCGCCTTGCGCTTCCATTTACCAACCATCTCGCTCTCTTCATAAGTAGGGCGATCAACTGCCTGTGGCTTCTTCTTTGACTTGAAAACAATTTGTGGCCTTTTAGGCACCACTGGCTTTAATATTGGTACTGATCCAACCGAAGATGATGATGAGGTACGTATTAATTCAGGTGCCATGTTTGGATTGGCCTGATTATTGTCACTATCAACACGAGAGTTTGAGTTGTTAGATGTATTGTGAGATCTGGTCGGAATATTGATAGCTTGGAAGGATGGAGGCGCGGGTGACGAAGTTTTAGATTTGTTCCGACTTCGACTCTTATTATTGGTTTTCTTTACCGTGGATGAAAATGTGTCTGATTCGAACCTAGACAAATCTTTGGATTTGATTGGTCGTTTTTGATTAATTGACCCTCCAGCATTTGACTGGGTCTCGGTTGACACGGACGCACCAAATTTGGCGTTGGCATTGGCGTTACCCGCCCCAACAATACCCTGACCCTTAGATTGTTCGAAACCATCCGAAGGCTTTGCTGTGCCAGCATGATTATGAGCGTGGTCAAAATCCATAGGATCATACTCATCGTTATCGAGAATTTGTTCATCAACTGAAGATAATGATGATGAGCTTGAAATTGAAACTGCTCTTGGTCGATCTGATAATTTAGGCAGTGGGGATGACAAAACGGGAACGGAAGAAGAAGCCGACGCAACTCCGTTCTGTTGCTTCTTCGTGATTCCATCAGTTCTATTTCCGATTCCAGGTCCAGTTGCACTTGCATCTAATTTTCCATTGACATCCTCATTTACAGCTGCAAAACCATTTCCTTTGTGCTTTTTATTGGGGTAAAGGCCATGATCTCCCGGTTTTCTTGGGGATCCAGATGTAGAGGCTGGTTTAGCATCTGATGAGCGTCTGACAGAATCAGCAGTTCCTAGCGTTGGAGGTTTGTTAGTAGAAGCAGATGGTGGTGGTGGAGGTGGCTGAGCATATGGTGAGGTATATGTCGTCGTTGCTTTAGCATATGGCGAAGCGTATGTAGTTCTTTTTGCCTCGAATATGGGGGCAAAATGGTATACAGGTTGGGCCGGTGGTTGTTGAACTTGACGTCGTGGTCGATGGGGTGCAGGGTCGCTACCATCTCCATTAAAATAATATTCCGCAGCCTTATCCTTTCTGCCTTCCTTCTTCTTCAGCCCAATCAATCTGTAAAATTCTCGAACCTCTTCTTCCGTAGCCTCCTCGTAGACCTGCTTTTCAACAAGTATGCCGAAATTTTCAGGATCCTCATCGTAAAGTTCCCGTAAAGCATAGGCAGTACACCAACGGTGCTCCTCGATCGCGTGGGAGACAGCCAGCTCAACAATTCTAGCCGTTTTTCTGCGAGAAGCCGCCTCAACTGCACGAGCCCGACCCTCCCTTTGACGAGCCTCGTCTCTTTCATCATATGTATAATTACTCATTTTGTGAGCATGATAGGAAGCTGTAGAAGGCGACTCGTTTGGAAGAGGTGTGCGCTGGACTGGAGAAGTTGCATAAAGGCTAGGTCCTTCACTTTCGTTTCGTACACTGGGAGGTGCGACACTCGATCTAGTGACACTTTTTCGCGCGCTTCTTGGTTGTTGAGGTGTTGATGGTGATACGTTTTCGAGTTCTTCAGTCTTCGTAGATGTGGATCTTCTCCGCGGGAGATTCGAAATAGATTCCGTGGTTTCCATCGCTTCTTGGGGTACGGCCTGGGGTGTCGCCGATAGAGAGGGCGGAAGTGAATCCTCCATCACTTCGGTAACGCCATTTGGTCTGCTTCCATTCGCATCTGCTACCTCTGGTTTGGCAGAAGACTTAACAGCTTTTGCGCTCGGTCGCGTTCCAAGTGGTGCCATGTTTGCGACCACTCCATGCCTCTCCATTCCAGCTTCTGCAAAAGATGGCATGGGAGTAGGAATAGGAGGTTCCGTCCACTTATCCATAAACGTTCTTTTTCGACCTGTATCTGCTACTGTAGCTGGAGAGGAATTCGGATTACGTTGTGCGGAAACAAATGGACTGGAACGACGAGAGCGTGTTGGGCGAGAATTGAGTTGGCTCATAGCTTCCTCGCTCGTCGCCTCCTGCGACCGACCTGACTCCTATCAATTGCGATCGCAGTCCCAATACAACTAATGAATTGTTAGTTAAATGATCATATAATTTAAATGGATTTCGTATACTTCTCTTCAATTCGCAATCATAGAAATGTTCTCGAACGTTGTTTTCAAGGGATATGTACGCGTTGAATTATCGTGGTATGATTGATTTGAGAGGGAAAGAAAGTCAAGTTCTCGCTTCGAGATGAAATCCCTTAGCTAGCGCCCCTTGAGAGCCGAAATCGTTGAGTTGCTTTAAGTGCGCGAAACAACAAAAGGTAAATGACGAATTTAAATCTATTATCCTTTTCAATAGATCACAGAACTCCTAACTACAATAGAAGAATTAATGACCGATTCTGATAGATGATAATTTTGCAGAAAAAAAAGTATCTTATTGAAGGAGATATATCCTCCTATCTGAGAGGTGATTGATCGCGTAAGTTTTCTCGTGCCGTACTCGTATCATGTGAAGAGACACGGTACCATGAAATAATGAATGAAAAGAGGGGTAGAAAACAACACCGGAGAAGAAGAGATAATTTACCTTATTTGTTTGTTATTATGAGAAAGTAGTAAATAGAAACAATATGTTGAAAGGGTGCAGAACGAAGAAAAGGGAGAGGTAGAGCAAGTGGATGAGAAGTGGAAGAGGAAGAAGGATGAACGTGGTGAATTGAATAGCCTTGCTCTTATCGATACCAAGATGGAAAGATGAAATCAATTGGTGATCGAGAGAGAAAAAGTCGCTTAGATCTGCTGCTGGATGGATAGGGCGGCACTAAGTGGCTGCAAACACCTTTCGTTTTAATTTCCTCCGACCGGCTTGGATGAAATCAATGGAAATGTGCAGTTGGAAAGGTTGTTGAGGAGAGTTATATTTGGTTGATGATCTTGGAGATGAAGATGGGAAGCGAAAAAGGTAAAGGAACACTAGGTAGGTAATTTCTGGGCTTTGCCTTCAACCTAATGAATCCTAACCGAGGATTCCAAAAAGAAGGCACTGTACCAATTTACACGTCACATCACATAGCTCAAAGTCATGGAAACACGCAATAATTGATGATTGAATTCACTTGCACCATTATTTCAATACTCATATATTTGCTGCATATCTCTGAATTTGAGAAGCTTTCAACTGCCTAATGAATCTCCCTATGGGATGCAGACCCGAGTTACAACATAACATCACTCGCTCTTCCCAATGACAACAATAAATGAGGCAAGAACAGTGAAATGCTTGACAAGCTTTTATGAAGCAGTGTCGGCAGCAAGATACGTAAACATGAGAAGAGTAGGACTTGTAAAGTAATTCATGAAACACATCATTTGTCAACTTTCAATTGATTCAATCGTCATCTCCGTCTCATCACGTGCCTGTTCCTGATCTACCTATTTACTCTGCTGCAGCAGGCTTCTTAGCAGCCTTCTTCTTCTTATCCTTAGCCAAAGGTTGCTCCAAAATCTTGAGGATCTCTTCGTCGGTGATCTTCTTATCAGTCTTGAACTTGCTAAGATCTGGCTCGGGTGGCGAGGCAATCTTTTGTAGACCGTTTTTGGTAATTGCTGAACATATTAGTCAAATGTTTCAAAGATAGATGATTCATCATCTGCTTACCAATTGTGGTCAATAATCTTCCTACTGCCTCATTGTCCTTGTCTCCAACGACTTCGTATTGCCTGAAAACGTTTCCACGTACACACTCGACAACACCGACCTTAGCATCTCGCTCGGATTCCAGTTGTCTCAAACTGAATGGGAAGGTACCAAACTTCTTCACAACCTCATTCATAATCGCTCTGGAACTTGGTCGCTTCAAGGCGTATGTAAGGTTGGTGCGACGATGAAGAGTGGTTCTGTTCTCGAAGTTCTTGATCTTTCCAGAGCCAAGAGAAACACCCATCTCGACACCCCAAACCTCGCCAACTTCTGGAACACCATCACCTCTTGTACCATCTCCTGGAGCAAGGATGATCTTCTTCTTTCCTTCAATTTCATTGCGCTCGAATTGCCAAGAGGTGGTGTGCTCGACCAAGTTGCAGTCGTAACTCTTAACCAATTTCTCGAGTAAGCTGGTAATCTTAGTTTGAGTAGGAGCTTTAATAGCTGCTGCCTTCTTTTGCTCTTCCTCTGTGCCAACTGGGACCAATCCAGGGGGTACCATCAAACGTAACAGGAGCTCGTTTGCATAGTGTGTCGCCAACAACAGGTCTGCATCTCTTCCACTGATCTCTCCATTTGCGTTGTCGGCAGAAGGGATGACAATGGTATCACAGACAATTGTTCCGAATCCATCGATTTGTGCACCGAGTTGAATCTTGATAGCTTCGCCTTCTTTGAGAACAACGCTTGCTTCGGCTTCGTCCGAGGTAAGAGGGGTATAAGGTGTTACGAAAGCTGAAGGAGAAACAGTGGTTGGGTGGGCAATACCTTTTTGTTTGTTAGTTAAATTAGTATGATCAATAGAGAAACATTCTTACCCTTGACCATCTTCTTTCCTCGGTAGACCTTTGCGATCTCTTCCTCGAGGAGCTTGTCACCCTTCTCGCAAATAGTCACAATTTTCTCGCCAGCCACACACAAGGCAGTAACATCCTTCAAAACCTTTTGGGAGATTGTAGCAGCATTCTTGTATTTGGTGAGCGTATCGGGGTTGTTGAGAGAGTAATCTAGCAATAGTTGATATTGTTAGTCAATTGATGCCTTGAGCTGTTTTCATGCTGGCTGTGCAGATTCCTGTACATCTTTCGAGTCGCATTGGCGGGGTCCAGTTTGCTCACCAACACACCAACATCAACAAAGTAAGATGAAGTTGATGGTGAAGAAGGAAAAAAACTTGACTTACCAATCTCTTGGTTTTCTTCCTTCTTATCGGCCATAATTGCGATATTCTTATGTTATGGTGAACGGTGTCAAGGGGTAGTATCGAGAATTGTTGTTGTTGTAAAGTTTGGAAGTGCAAAAACAATGTTTTCTTATATTTTCCCCTCACAAGTTAAAGTCAAAGGTAGAGGATCCAGGCGAGCCAGGTACTTTAAAGCTTGGAAGGATTAAGGATTGTGTGGGCTTTGTTTCGCTTGGTGACCTCACCTCACCGAGCTTCATCTACAGATGCCTGTGCCTTTCTGCTTCGAGTATCTGTTCTCGACTGTATTAAGCAGGAGCTAAGAGATTGGATATGTGTGAGAGATTCATTGTAAGATCAGTACCGGTAGTACTGCACGTATTTAATCGCATAATACCTGAGGACTTGGTGTACTGGACGATGATTGAATAATGTGTGAATTTTTACGGTTCAAATACACAAGAGAATGTTCTGTTGCATCGATCTATTCGAGTAATACTACCACCACTACTAGCTATTCAATCACACCACCTCGAGACCACCCATGAATCTCTTCTCTTCGGGAGCCAGCGGCCCGCATAGAAGCTTCTTAGAGCTTGTACCTATCTAGTATCGGATCGCCATTCCATTGTTGTTTACCTACGCACCTTAGTAGACACCTTTTCCAATTAGTCTGCCTCCACGGCAGTGGCTCCCAGAGGGCCAGCGGAGCGACATGTCAGCTCTTGAGGTGACTTGGTTCTTGACCATCATTGTAATAAAATAGACTCCAAAGAATCCCATGTTCTCGTTGCGTTTGAGAGTCTTGTTAATATACATACTCGAGTATCAAATTCGTGTAATTGGGTAAGGACAGCAGGATGATGACTAATCAACCTCAAGAAATCAACATTCTTCGCAATCAACCGTAGAAGCTCATTACTATGGAGTACTTTACAAACCAATATCACAATCAATCCAATCATCACTAATCCTACGCCTCACTCCTCACTCCTCACGCCTCACGCCTCACTCACGCCTCGTGTATTATAAGTTAGTCTGTGTACATATTATCTCGTCGCGAGTTTAAAGGTTCGCGATTATGAGATTCATAATTGTGTATTATTGATAATTAAATCCACTTTCCAATAACCACATTCTTTCTTTCATCTTCTCATATTCGTCGCATAGTTGTCGCGAATGTTTTCGCTATGACACCAGATATCCAGCAGACTTCTCAAGATGATTCTTCCTCAGCTAATGCTAATGCAACTGCACCTTCTGAGTCTGCGAATCCCACTTCATCCCAGTCTTCCACTTTAACTCATCGACCGCGAACGAAATCGGATTTCGACAAGCTATTACTTGAACAATACTTACATCACACTTTAATTCATTCCGCTGCCATTGTCGATGACCAGGACAAACGGAAGGCTTATTATCTCCACAAACATCACGAAGCGCAAGATTACGAGCTGGTAAAAACCCACAAAGATGTCTTTACAGCAAGTCGATTATATGGGACAGGTTACAATGGGTATGGGAATGGATTCACCGATGGACCAACAAGAATATTATATTCGCATGCGAAATTCGCGAAGAGGAAAGCGAAGCCATTGCGAATCAAGCGCAAAGATATGGCCATGCAGGCAGATCAAGTGGAAGAGTTGGTTCCCATAAGGTTGGATGTGGATTGGGATAAGGTCAAACTTCGAGATACTTTTACCTGGAATTTGCATGATCGAACGGTTACCACAGAGCTGTTCGCAAAGCAACTTATAGCGGACTTTGGTCTGATTACTCCAGTAGCAGAACCCGTACTACAACAAGTTCAACAACAAATGCATGATCAAATCGTCGACTTCAACCCCTTGGTTTATTTTCCGGAAGACCCCCTGGATGAAATGTTACCATATACGGCATACAAGAATGATGAGCTGCGCATCCTCATCAAGCTCAACATCACCATTGGACCACATACATTAGAAGACAAGTTCGAATGGGATATTAATAATCCTTTGAATTCACCAGAAGAGTTTGCGCAAAGTATGGCCAAAGATTTGTCCCTGTCCGGGGAGTTCACTACAGCAATCGCACATTGCATACGTGAACAAAGTCAATTATTCATACGGAGTTTGTACGGAGTTGGGCATCCATTTGATGGCAGGCCCGTAGAAGATGCCGATTTAGTTGCAGCATTCTTACCTTCACCTCTACCTTCAGTATTGCGGCCTCATCAGCAAATCAAAGAATTTGCGCCGTATCTGTATGAAGTGACCGAAGCAGATTTAGAGAAACACGACTTAGTATTTTCACGAGAACAACGAAGGCAGAAGAGATCTGTAAATAGGAGGGGAGGACCAGTTTTACCAGATCTAAAGGATAGGCAAAGGACAGTGAGAACTTTGGTTGTTTCTTCCGTATTACCTGGGGCAGCAACGACAGTTGAAGAGAGTCGATTATACAAACGAGTAGGAGTACCATCAGGCAGAGGAAGACGTGCTGGTTTTGGTCGACAAGATGGTGCAGATTTATCAGAATCGGACGATAGTGAAGATTCTAATCCTGAATCACCGGCTATCCAAGTAAGTCAAGGTACCGCAAGGACAAGAAATATGCGCGGAGCAGCTACAGCAGCCCAACAAAGAATGGCCAATATTGGAAGATCAGAAACTCCAGAATCTATGCTAGCACACCATCATGAAACTAGGACATCGGGGAGGAAATCTGGCCGTGACGCTCGCGAGGATACGGTGGATACTCCTTCACTAATAGTGAAATTGAAAATTTCGAAAGAGAAATTCAAGAAATTAGTCAAAGATATGGGCAAAGGTCGTTCGAGTCATCAACAAACTCCTTCTGTAACTCGCGCAACATCAACCTTTGGTACTCCTGCTCCACCTGGATCTATGGGTCCACCTTCAACACCCGGAGTTCAACCAGCTCAACCATTGGCAACAACACCAGCACCAGCTCCTACTCCACAACCAGTAAATGCAGTGGCAGTAGGTCAGATAGGTAGAATTGATGCGCCACCTCCTATACCTGGACAAGCCCCTCCAGCTGTAAGTCTATATCTCTTAATACGTTTTAGCTCATGATTCTACTTGACATACTTCATCCCGTCACCTTTCCCATCCTCCCCTCGTCCCCATACTATTCCAAACCCCAACTAACACTTCTAATCAGCCCCCTCCACCCCCTCCTGGCTAGCAACCGGCCTAACAGCCCTCCATCAACAATACCCCAACGATCGTTTCGAAGGTATGATGCGCTACTCGGCTGTTTCCATTACAACCGAAACTCCCGTCCCAGCTCCAGCTCCAGGCACAAATCCTGAAGGCATCAAGTGGATGTATCTCCCAGAATCAGATGTCATGATTGTCCAGGAAAGTTGTACACGCCGGGTCCAGATACGACGGTGGGGAATTTCGAAGTGCACTTGAAGAATAAGGGACATAGGGAAAAAGTCAATCTGAGAGTTGGAGCACAAGTCACGAATTGAGAGTTTGGGGGAGTTGTGGGAGATGGAGGTAGAGGGGTTTTAACTGGGATTGAAATAGGAAGGATTGGAATGCAATGAAATGGTCTGAGCAGGCGAAAAACTTCAGATGTCTATATGAATAGAGACATTGTATTATAGAATAGGATAGCGTGGTGCTTACTTAGTTACTTACTGGCTCAATTTATCACGGGAATAAATAGCGTTTTCTAGACTCAGAAACACATACACAGAGACATGCAGCAGTTGACATGATATGATCTCATCCCACAACGCATCAAACATAAAACCCACAAACCCCGCACAAACATCCATCTACCCATCTCAATCAATCAATCAAAGCAGCCCTTTAAAACCTTCAAAACCTCAAATCTGCCTAAAATCCGCCTAAAATCCGTCTTATGCCCGCTTCACGACCGCTTTCCACATTTCCACATCCCAATCAATGTAAAGTCTCACGATCGCATCGAGACCGCTTTCTATAGCTGGAGGCACGAGATACGAGATACGAGAAATAAATCAAATCTTCGGCCGAGTTCGGTGGGGTGGGAGAATAGTGGAGTCGCGCATTGGATGCGAAGGGAAGGGTACAGCAAATGTATGGAGTATGGAGGAAGGAAATGCAGAGGGGAAGGGAGACTGGCATTCTCGTGGTATGATGGTGTGGTGGAGCGACGGAAATGATTGAGGAGGGGGGAGGGGCAAGAATTAGAATCTTCGGGAGGTGGGTACCGGGAGATGGATAGAAGGGTATATAAGGGGTATGGCGTCCTGCTTTTTCGATTCGATTGATTGTTTTTATTCTCGTTTACATTTAAATTCTGGTGATCGATTCCGCGTTTGAGATTATCTCATCTGACTTTGTTTACTCTTACACTACTACACTCACTTTCTACTCAAAACCTAACCTAACTTAACACCGCCCCCAACTCCCAACCCTGAAACAATGGCACCCACCATCCTCGTCATCGGCGCAACCGGCAACACCGGCTTCCCACTCACCAAGTACCTCTCCGCGCACCTCCCCGCCACCCACCGAATCCTCGCCCTAACCCGCTCTGCCACCTCCCCCACCGCCCTCCAGCTGGCCTCCCTCCCCTCCGTCCAAGTCCTCGAATACTCCTACCCCGAAATCACCACCTCCTGGCTCCTCGAGCACGAAATCCAACGAGTCTTCATCTCCACCCACATCGAACCGACGCATTTCTCCGAAGAATCTCAATTCCTGCTCGCGGCCCGCGCTGCCGGCGTCAAATACGTCGTGCGCATGAGTACCACAGCCGCCAATGTCAACGCGGTCACGCTTCCCTATTACGCGCGGAACCACTGGGCGATCGAGACCCTTCTTTCTACACCCGAGTTTTCTAGCTCGGGAGAATTGAAATGGACGAGTCTCCAGCCGAATGGCTTCACGAGTATTTACCTCTATACCGCGGCGGCCTTTATCCGAGAATACCGCGCTACGGGCTCGGTGCCGGAGATTCTGCGTTTGTTCGCTGATGAGGATGCGAAGGTGGGAATTATCAATCCGGCTGATGTTGGGGTTTTTGCTGCGAAATTGCTGCTCGCTTCTGATGCTGAGGTGGAGAAACACAATGGGAAGAAATACGTGCTTAACGGTCCTGAAGACATTACCGGACGAGGAATCGTAGATTTGGTAGAGAAGTTTCTAGATGGGAAGAAAGTGAAAGAGGTGGCATACAGAGATATAACGATGATGGATGCGATGTTCGCGCAATCGCCGTATTCGAAGAATTTAATGGCGAGTTTCAAGCATTCGCCAGAGGCGAACTGGAATGGAAAGTGTAGTGTTGCGACGACTAGTAAGGAGGTGTTGGAATTTGCTGCGCCAAAGGGAACACCAGAGGAGGCGTTGAAAGCTATGCTGGAGCAGTAGGTGGATGTTGACGTAGATGAACATTTTTGGAGGGATAGAAGGAGAAGTTTCGGTTGCTGATGAGTAAGAAAGTACGAAAATCGACAGTGTCGAGATGTACAATTTAAAATGTTCTGAAAAGGAGTTCACAAAAGAGATGACTTATTTACCTTCTATTCATTGTCTCTTATCTAGGTGAAGCATGAATAGGAAAGAATTTCCACTCTGGCACATGCATCAGAGGTACTAGATAAGTAGTATAACTGACCCGAATACTCACACTTGTGAATCCAAAAATACAGTCAAAACGAAAAGCGATCTGTCTGAACTATGATTATACTATGATCGTATGAGATCCTATTGGTCACATCGCTCATAGTCCAAACTCCCATTCTCGATTAAATGTTCAGGAAGAGCTTGATATAAACTCTCATTTCATTCTGGATGTTCTGTTCATCTATCCCCTATTCCCAAATTCGAATACCAGATCCGTTCGTCTGTTTGTTAATTTCAAGAAACACCCCATCCAATCCCATTCCACCCTATCCCTATTTGATATATCCCATCCATGATAGACATCCCCAATCCAATACACTCCCAACCATCCATAAACAGATTCCTAAAACGCCTTGCATGAATCGTCCATCTTCTATCTGAACCAAATCAAGCCATGATAACCAACTTGTGTTCTTGAGCATCTATGATTTGATGAATAGTGAACATCACATGCTTAATTCGTCCCATCCCCTCCTGACCCAAGAAAACGCCAGATTTCCATGTACTGATGTATCCATAAATCAAACTACCTCTCATTCCCATGAAATACCGCTAGAAAGAGATCCAAACTAGCCCATCCCTGTACGCCCTACCCAAGAAGTGTCTAGAATCAGGATCTAGAAAATCGAACGGATTTCTGCATTGCAAGTGAAAAAAGCACTGAGCCGAAGGAACCGAATGCTTGTAAGTAACTGACGGAAACAGCGGTTCTGAATGTCCCAATCGGACTGAAACAAGTAAAAGACCCAAATCAAGTGTCCCAGAGAACATGAAGTAAAAAATCACAAATCCCGTAAAGCAAACTCATACTCGTGCAGCCATACTTTGTTTCCTCTGCGGAGCACTCTGCAACGAAAATCCACTTTGTCTTCTACCCGGCAAGCCCATTTCCCCAGTTCCATTCTCATTCGGACCCTCTCCCATTCCCCCATTATTTCATCTCCTACAGCATCCTCTCCGTTCTCCATCGCCGGTGTCGCTTTCTGGACTACCTTACATATATTTAATGTAAATCCATTTGTAGCATTATGTAATTGTTCCCATAATCTCTCATCTCTGTATCGATACTGGATTGGATATTGTATGAGTGGTGGGACTAAAGGTTGTGGATTCCAATTTGCGAGACCAGATTGAACAGCGAGGAGTTCTTCGTCAGAGTCGATAGGGCCATTGAGAAGTTCTTCGTCTTCAAGAGGGGCATTGGCGTCGATTGCTGCTTCTGTTTTTGTGATTGGGTTAGAAGTCGATCTTTGGAGTTAGGAAAGAGTGTGATTGGTATTAGAAGGAGGGAGGAAGGAAGGAAGGAAACAAAGGAATATCATACTTTGTTGTTTGGCTTGGTTTTTCTTCTGGTACTGCGAAAGTAGCATATCGTAAGGTAAGGTACGACCAGGAACAGCTCTTTTAGCTCCCATAGAATGCGATTTGCAGGTTAAGGAGCGGGCGCAAGGAACTCCATCTTTCAGGACTCCACATTGGCGTTCTACATCGACCGGACCTTCAGAAAGAGTTAATTTGTTAGCTAAAAGTGTTTTTTGATATAATCTTGTAGATCGTCTGGCCTCCATGATTGAGATAATTGGGTATCTCGATAAGAACGAAAGAAAAGATTAAGATGCAAAGTGAACATCTTCAAAATCGGAGAACTCTTGAGACGAATAGTGAAACCCGCATAGAGTGACACTCAGATAGTCCCCCCCTTTAGACGCTTCCACTACCTGCCTCCGTAATCTTCCCCATTGCCCCGCCAGAATATGAAATAAAAGCGATGATAGCTTCGGAGATCAAAAATGCATACCTTTTGGTTTCGGAGCCTTTGGTTTTGGCTCTTCCTTCTTCTTCTTCTGTTTTGGACCCTTTTCTCCCTCGCCATCTGCCTTTCTCTTCTTCCCCTTCGCATCCCCATTATTTTTACCCGCGCTCTTCTTCGAACTCTTGAAGCCACCCGGGCCCTTCTCCTCGTCATCGTCATCATCATCACTCCCCATTTTCGTATCTCCATCTCCATCAACATCTTTATTTGCCAATTTCTTTTTGACCTTATCCCTAGCTTCTTTCGCTTCCTTCTTCTTCAATAATTTGACTCTCTTCGCATTCAAACATGCTTTTACATGCGAAACTGTTGCGGTCTTCAATACACTCTTCTTGCAATGCTTACACACTTGTAAATCGGGATCATCTTCTAAAGGTCTTCCTGTAGCAAATGTTTCCAGCGCGGCATCATCCAGCATATTAACTACAGGACCAGGACTCGGAATCGAATCTGCGCCTGATGTATCTGTTCCTTTCTTCTTCTCGTCGACTATTGTAGCCTGATTAGCCCCTCATCATATGAGCCGTGTTGTAGAGTTGCGGTGGGAAGATTACCATCGATAATACTTCCTTCTCTCCAATTGCCAGGCTTATTGTGCTTCGGAGGTTGTTTCTTTAATTTGATATTGCCTAATAACTTATCGCCTCCTCCTCGTTCTCTCTTGGGCGCGACTTTGATAGTTGAATCATCGTCACTCGCGACGGAAACTGTTGATATTGATTAACATGTTAAACTTTGACTGATTGAATAGAGGAGATTTACCTCTCCTGCTAGCCATATCGTCGCGAAACTTTGAGAAATTCTGTTGCAGGAGATGTGATGATGGTGGTTATTTCTTTGTAATTGGTGTGATGTTGGAGTCTGGACAAGGCTGAGATAACCTTACGGGCCCACTGACTGGGGTTGATCTCGACTCGATTCGGTAAACTTCCGGCGAATTGTTCCTGCAGCCTGATCTGATCTGGCCTGGTTTTCGGCCTGTGATGTGTGTGGAGTTGTGGGGGATTTCAAGGTTGTCCTTGAAAGGAATTGTTCAAATCTGTTTGCTGTCTCTTATCTGATAGTTTCAAAGGGAAAATTGTCGACTTCAAGAGTTGGAGAAGGGAGCCATTTGGTAACAGGGAGACTGTAGAGCCTCAACATATATATCTAGCTTCAAGAGTAAGATTCATGCATCGACGAATGTAACTAAAGATTTTCAGCAAATCTTTCTTTCATAGTTAAATTACTTTCCCGATTTGAAACGCTGTACATCTTGAAGGGATGCATAAGCACCGGACACATCATGAATACATGTTGTCTGGAAATTTTCGACAGATACAATCAGCTGAGAAATCTGCATCATTGAGATATGTATGCGACTTATCATACTGCATATTATTGATTCTTTGTGGTATATCTATTTAATGAAATTTACTGCTTCCAAACTGGATATCCGCTACATACATTCATATCTATTTCTTACCCCTACATCTAGGTACACCTCCCAGATATCCAAAACACAATGCAGCCACAACAGCACACATGCCGGCCACCACTGCATTCATATTCCCATACCCAATTCCCTCTCTCAAACTCCCCGCCATCACGGGTCCAACAGTGAATCCCGCACTGAAAACCATACTATTCAACGCATACAATTGTGCATATGGTCCCTCCTCCCCAAACAACTCTGGATTAGCATTATGATATCTCTCCGCAACGTAAGATGCTTCCACAATACTTGGTGCTCCAATCAGCGCCATCCCAAATCCACAGAGTGATAAGAGAACACAGTAAAGAACTAAATCGTGCGTTGTATTTGAAACGGGAAGACGGAGGAGGACCAGAGGTAGGATAAAAAATGTGTACCCAATTGTTCCAATGATCTTGGGTCCGTATCTATCAACTCCCATTCCAGCTAACGGGCCGAAGATGAGAGAGGTGAGAACAATAGGGGTAAATAATAGTCCAGTTTGTAAAGCTGTAAATCCAAAGAGCGATTGTGATTGTGTGGGAATAGTGGCGTCGAAAACTGCAAGAATAGTTGCTTGCATGAAAGCTACTAATTCTGCTGTAAGGAGGCGGGGAGACGAGAGAAGATAAAGAACGGGGAACTTTCTGACAAAATTTGGGAGTTCTTTGCGAATTTTCCAAGAGTCAAGATTTGAATCTTTTCCATTGCCGAGCAATGGCGCCTCTTCTTCATTTCCATTTCCATTTCCACTCTCACTCGCCCCTCCTTGTTCACTTCCGTCCAGTCCCTCCCCAACACCCCACTTCCTCGCAACCTTCTTCTCAATAACCGCCACTCTCATTCCAAAATCCACCCCTAGGAGCGCAATTCCCATCCCAAAAACTGCATTACTTCCCACCTTGTCATAAACCACTCCTCCCAACACCGGCGCCACCAATTCCCCCGTGCTGATGAAACTGAAAATAGTTCCAATCGTGACTCCCAATTTCTCACTTCCAACCGTATCCATCACCAGCGCCAATCCAATTGTCCAAACTGTTGCTCCTGAAATACCCTGGAAAATTCTCGCGATTATCAAGACCTCTATACTCGTTCCTAGCATTAGGAGCACCGTACTCGCTAATAGAGCTACTAAGCCTACTAGGAATGGGAGTTGACGAGAGGATAAACGATCGGCGATATATCCAGCCGGAAATGAAAATAATACGGATGCTCCTGCATAACAGGCAAGAAGAACAGAAGTATAGTATTGAATTTCCGATTGTTCAACCCCTATTCGATCAGAAAGAATAAAGGGTAAGATGGGCACAATGAGTCCGTATAAAAATAAATCGGTAAACATGCCAACGGCTACCGTGGAGAGAATGAAGAAGGTGTTAGAACGGGCTTCCAATGCCCAGGGACGTTTTGATGATGAGGATGCCATCGAGGCTATTGATGCCATGACTGGCGATTTCGAATCGTGGAGATATCAATCCGTGGCGGAATCAATCTGAATTATGATGAATGTATTGAGTTCAATCAATGTTGAAGATTATGATGTCTAGAAAATATATGAAAGAAAAATTTGGAAATTTATATAAGACTTTGTTGCGCATGTCGTCATGTGTAAATCTTTTGCCTGGAGTACTTCCAAAGATTTTCTTTTGCAATGAATTTTTCCTGCGGGTAGACCCGAAGCTAAAAGCTAGTGTGTAGTGTAAGTCGGAATCGATTTCGGAACTGTTATCCTATCGGGATAGATATAAGATGAAGCTATAATATATAATGTCAAAATGAAACCAATTGATATGTTATGAGACGTTTGGGTTTGTCAAGCTTATGTTGTATGTCTTGTTGGTTGGTTTTACGAAAGTATGATATCCGAGCTATTCATCCAGGGGTATTTTCATAGAATGAAGCTATCTAATTACTACACAGATGTACTAGGTAGGGAGCGCGATAGACCTCCACCATGCGCGCGGTAAGATTTATGATCAAGGCACATGGAATAAGAGTAGATCAAAGCACCAGTAAATCTTATAAAATATATTCTATATAATCCCATTGGTATCTGCTGTTCCTCCTTCGTCTTTTTGCTTAAACATTTTCATACATCACAGCTGTAAAACAAATGAACTCACAAAGTAAACTCCTCCACTCCTCTCCCTGACCCCTTCTCGCATCATAGGTATTCTTCTCAGGTATCCATCATCCAATCCATCCCCCTTTTCACCCCTAGAAAATAAAAATCATAATATAAATACAGAAAAAAGCCTCTGGTTCGCATGATACCAGAAGACTCCCAATTCAATCCAACCTCAACGTAGAAACGAAGTCCATAATATCCATCCCTCTCCTTTCGATAAGTAAAGAAACCCACAAATGAAAACCCACTTGATTATTTGGCTTTAGACCAACTTTCCTCTTCATTAAATGTAGCTAACCTTGACTCCCATCCCTATCGTTCTCTTGACTCTGCCCAGTCCCTCACTCATCATCCTCCTGATTCTTTCCCTGACTTCTCGTCTTCCAAACACAACTGCTATCCCAGCCACGAAAGCGACCATTCTTAACATGGCCATCGGGTTTTTTAAATTAAAATTTCCTCCCATATTTTGAAGTACCAATGTCAAATTACGCATTATAATTCCCACCTTTTCTATTATACTTTTCTGTTTTGTTTCTTCTACCGACTTTCGAGGATGTGGTTTAGTGGTCGAAGATTTGGAAGATTTGGAATGTCGAGGATTGTTAGGCGATGAAGATGATGTTACGGATCCATTATTCATTACTGGAGCTTCATCTTCGATCCCGTAGTCAACTTCTGATGTCCCTCCTACGCTTGCTCTGGATTTCTTATCCATTTCTTCTCGTCTTCTTTCCTCTTCTTCTCTCCGACGTCGACTTTCTTCTATATCTCTCTTGAGTTGTTCTTCTCTGTATTCCTTTTCCATTCTCTCTCTCCTCTCTCCTTCCTCACTTTCTTCCTTGAGGCTTCGTAATGCCCCAAGGAAAGCCTCTCTTCTTTCATCGTCCAAAACTTCACTAATCGTGATGAATTCTTTCGCATAATCCCATTCATTATTTCGAAGTAAGACATGTAGGGTGTAGAGTTCTAGAATCTTTACACGAGCATTTAAGTCTCGTGGTGTATCTGCTCCGGGTTGGGAACGACGTTTGGAACCTGGGAATGGATTTGAGGCCGTGGGTGTAGAGGATTGGGACATAGAGAGAGATGGGGTATTAGATGTTGCGAGATATGTTTCAAGGCGAGTCTGGTTCACCTTTTGGGTGCGAGCATGAGCTAAGAGAAGAGTTGCTCTATTTTATTGTTAGTTTCTTCCTTTATAGTGGAGATACCTGGGGATTGAGAGTATGCGGGGAACACGAACAAGTTTATGACGACGTCTGAATCTACATCCCCTTCAATTCCATGATACCCGTTTTTAACAACCTCCTCCCAAACTTCTCCGTCCCTAACCTTGGCGACTAGTGCTCTGAATTGACTTGTTCCGAATGCTTGTTTTCCTTCGGCAGGGTCCAATTCCAGAATCGCATTCAAGATTGTAAGGTATAAACTCCAGACCTTAATGCGAGTCGTACGGGAAGCTTTTGATATTGGGGCCAAGGATTTCGTAGGGTCATCGGGATTGGCGTTCTCGGTATCGGAGGGAGAGGATGGTGTAATTACTGGCAGAATGGTTGAGAGCGATTCAGGTAGACGACGCGTTAGAAAGAGCGTTGAGGCTTGACGATAAGTTTTCGATATTTGAGATGTATGGCGAGATGAAGAAAGGGAATTGGAAAGGGATGAATGGGACGATGAAATTATATGTGATGAAGATAGCGGATCTGATGGATTGATCGCCGTAATAGATCCATGAGAAGCCATGACTGCCGAAAGGTTGTAGAATTGAAAGTAACGACGCGAATAGATCGAAGGAATTAAATACGGGTGGAGGGGACGTCTGGGAATGAAGAAATGAAAGGTAAAAGGACTAGGACGTGTGTATGTATGACATTTGAAAATGTCTCTGATGATTGTAACGAGGGAAACGGTTTAAAGCCTCGGTCCAGGAAGGTTAATAAGGTTAATATGATTGAGGCATAGGGCGGTGTGCTGACTCATGTGATTGGTTGAGGGATCAAATTAATTATGAAAGGCTGGAATGGAAATTAAAGGTGGCATAAAGTTATGCACACACTTCACTTTCAACAAACAACAAGAAGCATGAGATAATAGTAAGCAAGTGAGGTTTGATTTAATAGATACTATTATCTACTGGGATATATCTGTGCCATATATCTATAACATGGTTTATCAGTATGTGCACTATATTAGTACATGCACCACTTTTATCTCAATTCTTATTATTCAATTATAATACATAATATATTAATCAATTAATATATAATCAATTTATAAAAAAGCTTGAATACTCTTAGCTATTAAGACTATTCGATAAAACAAAAAATTATTCTTTAAAAAAACTGTTAAGCTATATAATATCATTTATACAACATTTATTCAAAGAATAAATGGAATATTTCCCGTGACCGAAATTCGATTAATATAACAGAAACTTACTAAATTAGAAAAGAATATTATTATTCAATATATAATTGATATGGATAATAAAGGATTTAGTTCTAAAATTAAGGGGATGAAAGATATAGTGAATTATATTCTAAATTCTTGAAGTATAAAACAAATTGGAAAGCTTTGGGCTTATCAATTCATAAAATGTTGTATAAAGTTAAGAATATATTTTAAATGTGTTTATGACTTTCAAAAAGCTTTCTACAAAGATTCTATATTTATTCAAGATTGGTTTCGATTTATATCAAATATGCAAGCAAAATTTAGTATTCTCGATTGTGATTTATAAAATTTCGATGAAACAGATTTTATAATAGGAATAATAAATATTAGTATAATTATTATTAATACTAAAAGATATAGCAGAAATAAAGCTATACAGTCAGACAATCGAGAATGGGCTATAGCAATCATATATAGCAACAATGAAAAGGATATTATATCTCCATTTCTAATAATTTAAAAACAAATATATCTTTCCAATTAATATATAGAAACCAATCTTCCTATAGATTGGACTATTAAATCTACAAGCAATAGGTGAATAAATAATGAGATAGGTTTAGAATAGTTGAAATACTTCGATAAATATATAAGAAATCGAACTAAGGGCAAATATAGAATATTAATACTGAATAGGTATAAAAACTATAAATTAATATTATTCTAAAACTATTATAAAAAGAATAATATTAAATATATATATTTACTATTATATTTAAATCATTTAATCTAACCTCTTAATATTGGATGTTTTAGTATCTTAAAACGAAAGTATGGTATACAAATTGAAAGATTTATAAAAGTATATATCAATTATATCTTAAAGATTGAATTCTTTATAGCTTTCAAAGCTGTATATCAATAATCAATTACAAATCAGAATATGAAATCAGGATTTCAAGAAGTAAGATTAATTCTATTTAATCCTGAAGTAGTATTTTCTAAACTAGATATTCGAATTTATATATTTATTTTTTCTCCTTCTAATTCAGATCCTTGGGTTTTTTAAATACCTTATAATTCTATAGAAGTGCTTTTTTAATTAATATTAGTTAAATCTTGAATAAATTATTATTAATCAAGTTCTTTTACACCTTTATTTAAAACTGTATTAGCTTTAACTAAAAATATAAAGAAACTAGTATATAAGAATACACTTTTGAATATAAAGATTTGTATATTTCGAAAAGCAAATAAGGTATTAAGCAAATGTTAATACACAAAAAAAACTCAATTATATTAAGAAGAAATACTTATTAAATAGAAAGCTATAGATATATTATTTCAATAAAAGATTGATATTCAAATTCGATATAATAAATATCAAAATAAAAAGAATTCTAATAGAGAAGCATCCTTTAATCGATACTATAATAAATATGGAAAAACAGGTTACAATACAAGAACCTATCAAATTGATATAATAGATCCTAGATTATTAGATTCTTAATAGCTTTAATCAATTAAATCAATAATTATTGAATAATATGAATTCGAAAGTGTTAATTGAGATAAAAGTGATGCACGTACTGATATGGTGTACGTACTGATAAACCACGTTATCTATATCTATATTTATAACTTATCTATATCTCTCTCTCTCTATATATATATCTACCTCTCTATATATTACTCCTATATAATTATCTATCTCTATATATCACTCCTATATAATTACCTACCTCCATATATCACTCCTATACAATTATCTACACTGATAATGTGCCACCGCACACCAAACAGACAATCATAGATACATGTCAGACATCAGACATCAGACATCAGACCATAGAATACAAAAGAACATGTATTCAAAGTAAAACACACAATACAAACAAGATCAATCTTTCTTCAATCTTCCTTCAATTATCTTGTCGCCTTCCTTCCCCTTTCGCTTCCCTCCCATATCTCTTCCCTTCCCTTCCACACCGAGGTATTTGCTAAGTAATATCTTTTTCACACTTTGAACTCCCTTTGGGCACTCATACTCGTGATGGACATTCCTCAACAAATCGAATAATCAGATTCACCTTTTCAATTTTGAGCTTCTCCGCTTTTATGTGGTAGTAAGTAGTAGCTTCCCAAGAGACCCTCCTCAAGCAACAAGCAACAAGCAACAAGCAACAGTAACCGTCTCCAACCAACAAACCTCAATATTTTGCCACAAAATCACCATCAATATGGAAGTTGATAAAGAAAACTGGCAGCGGCTCTTGCTCCCAATTTTAAAAGATATTGCCAATGCTACCTTTGTTTCTTTCGACTTGGAAATGAGTGGTATTACGACCCGTCCAAAACATACATCTCAGGAACGAACGCATGATATTGGAAAACCAAGTCTACAACAGCAATACGAAGAAGTAAAGGAGGCTGCCGAAACGTTCCAAGTTCTTCAATTAGGTATTACTTGTGTTGAGGAAGACCGTGAAAAGGGTTAGTATAATTATTGTTTTCGCCACTCTTGATATTGGACGTTGACCATCCTTAGAATATTATCTTGCCAAACCTTACAATATCAACCTCAGTCCACTGTTGCTCTATGATAGAGTCTTTGATCTCGACCGCAAGTTCTCCTTCTCCAGCTCTGCTACTAATTTCCTTCAATCAAATGGCTTCGACATTGGTGCAGTATTCACCGTGGGCGTTCCCTATCTATCGGAGCAGGAAGAAGTCGAGGCTCGTGAACGTTATGATCAGAGGATTGAGAGAAATGCAGCAATTCCTAGCATTGTTTTCGACCCCAGTGATGTTGGAACATTGGAGTTTTACCGGAGGGCTAGGTCGATTGTTACTGAATGGATTGAGGCAAAGGAAGTAAGTAATTTCCTGTTTACCATCATATATGTGATCACGTTTTTCATCTTCCAGCCGATAGTCTTACAAAAGATACATTATTTGAATGATCGATTTGGACTTGCGTGTTGTAGCCGTTGACATATTGATCAAATACCCCCTTGGTTTCTAAATGCAAGTTCATCATTATCATCTTCACCTCGGGAGATAATATTCTTTGTATAGATGATGCAAAATTATGATGATTTACTATTTCCCACAATTTGCTAATATATTTTAGCCTAAGATGACCTTTGTCAACGTGGATAATTCCAAGGGTCCTTTGAATGGTTTCCAACGAAGATTAGTCCATCAACTTGTCCGCAGCGAGTTCCCACAGTGTAGATGTTTTGCTCGTTTGGATGGATCTTTCATGCAAGTTGAAAAGATTGATCATGATAGAGAAGCAAGGGTATGCTATTCCAATTTCTCCAACCCCCTCATTGCATTTTATACTGAACGGTTCTACAATGTTTTCCTCCGTTTCACTGAAAACTCGATATCCTACCTTACTAATGGTGTATAGTTCAAAATCGAGCAATTGAAGAAATTCAACCAACGAATCGCCACTCAATCTGGAGCAAGATTCATCTTCGAAGCACTTTGCGGTGGTGACTTGACAGGTATTGATCCGATGTGGTCGTATACACATGATGAGAACGCCCAACCTAACACTGTCGATTCTTCACATGCTGCTCTTGAAGCAGAGCTTGCAAAAGTGACTAAGAAACTTAAAGAGAAACAACACGTCATTGTTGGTCATAATCTTTTCACCGATCTTTGTTTCCTCTATAAGACATTCATTGGTGATCTTCCAGCTGGAGTGGGAGATTTTCAATCTCGGATTCATTCCCTGTTTCCTTTCGTTATTGACACCAAGTACCTTGCTACGTATAATAGCGATGCTATGAAACCTCGCGTTAACCTTAAAGAGCTTTTGATTCCAGTAAGTATATACACTCTTCAATTTTATCCTTCCCAGTATATGGATATGAGAGGAGGTTCAACATCTACAGTCTCCCGTCATTCTCATTCCATTCTTCAAGAAACTGACCAGCGAACCCTCAGTTTCAAAAAATCCATATGCCACTCATACTTCTCCACGAAAAGCACAATACCTATGGCGCCACCAATGGAAATGCTCACGAAGCAGGCTTTGATAGTGTAAGTCCAGCCCTCTCCTGCCCCCATTTTCAAATATGCAATTTATCCGCACTTTCTACCCTGTGTTTCAAAGCACCCTTTCTTTTCTTTCTGACAGAATTCTAACATCCAAACCCTCGTTCAGTGGATGACAGCCGAACTTCTTGTCAAACTTTCAGCTCAGCTCTATGCCGAACAATCAGATTCTCAATCCCCACCTCGAGACAATTATAAACACGATTATAGCGATGACTATAAACCTTCTTCGGATTCTGACTCTGAAGACGAAGGATCCGGAGGTGCTTCTCTCTTCTCTCCCGTATCCAATTCTACTTTCCCAACATCAAGTCGAAATGTAGATAGAAATCTTCCCGGTAATTGGCACGCAATGCAACTGAATAATCCTTTTGCGGCGCTAGAACTCGAACAGACGGGTAAAAATGGAAGCAAAAATAAGAAAGACAAAAAGAAAGTACAATTTGGTGACGGAGGAAAGGTGGAGGGTGGGATTCAACAATGGATTCCGAATGCGGAACATGCATTCTGGGAGAGTTATAAGAATAAGTTGAGGGTTAATGCTATCGAGGGAGAAGTGTGTGATTTGAGTGGTGGCGGGAGAAGTGCAAATGGGGTTAATGGGGAAAGAGGAGAGAGGATCAGGAAGCAAGGGAAAGTTAGGGGTGGTTGAGCTTAAACTAATTCAATTTGAGGGGCTCTTGGGGAGTGGATGCGCTGGGGAGGGGAAAGCTGTTTTAGAGGGATGGGGGGAAGATCTCTTGAAATTTTCTCGAGATTAAGTCACGAGGAAACGTACCTGACGAATCAACGAATGGATGAATGAATGAAGCAAGCAAGCAAGCGATATATCCAGAGTATCATGGAGAATTGGCGTGGATCTTACATATCTTACTTCAGATTGCGCATGAATCAATGAGTCGGTGAATCAAATCTTACAATTCAAGTTCACACATCCACATGTCTACCACATTGAACAATTGAAAATTACATTCACATGCACATCACACCACACCAGATCACACCTGCACATATTGACATATAAAATCCTAGGTACTTTCATGCATATCCGCATCATATCATTTAATTCCAAGGATCTAGAAAACTAGAAAACTAGCTACATAGATACATACATATCCACAAAAAGGGGAAAAAAGTCTCAAATTGAAATGTAAAGCAAGTACTTATGCAAGTAAGCAAATTAAACCCATCTTGCCCCAAACGATCCCATAGCATTGTGTTATATTGTATTTCCATCTTTCCATGTCCCATCTTCCATCTTCCATCTTCCATAAACATGAAATTACATTTCTCCTCATCTCATCCACACAACAGCTAGGTAATAACAAACGCATCGCATATCCACATATAATAAACATATTCAGTCAACCTTTTTGCTTCGTAAACCGGGTATACGCTGAACGCTTTTCTTTGTTTTCTCTTATTTCCCCCTCCCCTCCCCTCATTCCTCACGCGTTTCCGCTTTCCCCGTATCTCTATCCATTCTAGACTCCCATACAATCAATCCATCAATCAATCAATCACTTAGCTCTTCCCCTCGTGTTCCTCCCCCTCCCAACTACATCCTTGGTTTTCCGTCCCTTGCCGCCCTTCGCGCTCTCCTTCACCTCTGGCGCCTCGACCTCCTCTTCTACCTCCTCCGTTGCTTCTTCCTCTACATCCTCCTCAACAACCTCTTCCTCTGCAACTTCCTGAACCCTCCCTCTAGTATTCCTCGTCGATTTCAACACCTGTCTCTCGGTCTTCTCCTTCACTTGAACAGGCAACTTAGTTTTCTTACCACCGCGAGTTTTCTTGCCGTTAGCTTTTGGTTCAGGTTCTTCGACTTCTTCTTCGGTTTCAGCTTGTACTTCAGGCTCAGCCATTTCTACATCCTCTTCTTCATTTTCTACATCCGCATCAGCAGTAGGAGATTCTTCTTCTTCTTCTTCGACTTCGACTTCAGCTTCAACTTCTGGCTCCGGACTTGCAGCTTTCGCACCTCTCCTACCACTTCTTCCCCTTCCAGTCGCTCTAGAATTCTTGGCATTCAACTTGGCGGGTTTAGGAGAAGGAGTAGGTACTGCCGCTTCAGCTTCAGCTTCCACTTCATTATTTTTATCTGGTTGGGCCTCCTCCTCGACCTCTTCTTCCCGCGGTGCGACTTTCTTGCCATTCGATTTCTTAGTCTTAGGTGTTGCTTTGGTTGATCTAGAGGCGCGTTTCGGAGGCGAAGATACAGGCTCTCCTTCCATATCAACATCCTCTTGTTCTTCTACCTCAACATTGACTTCAACCTCAGCCTCATCCTCACTTGCAGGAGCTGGGGACGTGACGCTAGATGCAGCCCTCGGGGCCACCCTAGGCGATTGCTTCTTTTTCGCCGATGCTGTTCTTGATCCACGTTTGGGTTGTGGCGATGTTGGTTCTGCTTCGGATTCTGCTTGTGGTTCGACTTCATCTTCCATAGCGACGTCTGATTGTTCTGCATCTTCTTCGACAAGGCGAGTTGACTTCTGAGGTGTCTTTGCCTTGGGTTTTCCCCTGCCCTTTCCTGTTGATTTAGGTACTGGCTCTTCTTCCTCCTCGATATCGCCGGCATCTTCTTCCAGTTCAGCATCACTTTCTTCATCTTCTTCCTCAGGCTCCACCCTATTACCATCTTCATCAAAATAGTCCCATTTACTAACACCTTCCAACATTTCATCTTCATCCTCGCTATCATCCCTATCAATATAACTCTTTTTCGCACTTGCAACGCCTCTTCCACTCTTCCTTCTCTCTGCACTGCTGATTGCTGGCGTTCTTGGCTCTTTAATCTTCTTTGGTTTGGGAGTCTTGACGACTCTCTCTTTCTTGGAAGCTGTGGATCTAGGTCTCCCTTCAGATTTCTGTTTCTTAGCATTGGGGAGAGATGAATCATCGATAGATTTCCGTTTTTGTGACTATCAATAACATTAGTAAATGACGATAAGTGAGAGATTCGGGATGAATGTAAGCGACTCGTACCTTCTTCTTATCCGCATTTCTGACCAACTTGTCTAATTCTTCATCCAATTCCTCGGGTATGTAATTCTTTTCCGCAATCTCTTGCGCGATACTATGAGACTGAAGAGCACCGAACAACTTGGCTGGAACTCTAACTTTAGCTGGATAGGATTGCATAGTCCAACCCTTCTTGGCTTCCCATTTCTGAATCACAGCTTGTGTGAGATCACTTAAAACGTAAAGATTTTCAGATTCAGCTGGGTTGATAGCATCTCGAGCTTGCTTGACACTTTGAGCATATTTGTAAATAAGACCCAAGTTATCTTCCGAGGCAACAGAAGACACATAGTATAGTATATAACGAGCATGATCAATAAGCTCGGCAGGATCAGTGCTATAATCAGGGTGATGGGCTAATAACGATAAAAGTCGTGGCAGAGTTTTCTCCAATACCATAGTCTTGGAGTCAACGAAGACTTTAGCACGAGAACGAATCCATGTGATGATTGAGTTCTTGAAATTTATTTCGGGTTCGAAAGCAGTCAAGAAAATGATGGTGTAAAACCGATCTGGAAGCTTATCCTTGACCAAATACTTTTGGAGTTTTTCAATAAAAGCTTTTCGGACATTGGGATGTTCGTCTTGTGCTACGAAAGATAAACGGTCGAACTGAGCAGGAGCTAGGATTTCGTCAAAAATTGGAGTAGTGCAGAGCTTGAGCATTAACTGTGCAGCTAATAACCTCAAACGAGATTTATGATGTCTGGGGGTGTCCTGCTGCTTCGAAAGCTCTCCATTGTCCACAATCAATTTGTTGAGAACCTTGAAGACTGGTTGTGCAACAGTTTTGACTTCTGTTTCTTCAACTGTACGCAACCTATTAACTAGGATCTTCAAGGCCCAACATTTGGCTTGGCATTCTTCGTCTAGCTCATCATCATTCTGCCATTTGGGATCGGTATCTTTGGCTGGAGTTCGAACTTGCAGGAGAAGCTCTTGGGTGGTAATTTCAAGAATCTCATCACTAAAATCATCCGCAATTTTAGGCGACAATAGTTGCAATTGACTAATAGCTGCTAGCTTGGTCAAAAAATGGCCTTCCCCATACTTCCACTCCTTTGTTGACTTCTCCAAAAGATCCTTCGCATGCATTTCTTTTCGATCAGTGGCAGCCATCAAAAGAGTGATCGCATATTTTGCAGCTCGAGGTGCTGTTCCGAATGATGCATAACTGACTAATGTTTGAGCAAACTTGCGATCTTTGGGAAGTGATTTCGATTCGGTTTTGCTTTTGGCAAATACTGCACATGCTTTCAAAGTTGCCACAGTACCTGGATCATTTTCTTTAGTCTCTGTTGGTGCCTCATCTTCCAAAGTCTTGCATAACTCCTTGATATTCGCAGTCAAGACCTGTGGATTCTTTTCGGAAATTTCGTTCATGACCTCCTGAGCAGTAGCACCCAATCCTTTATCATCCGTTCTGGAATACTGGAGAATGGCAGGCAAGTGACTCCGATTGTATACCAAAAAGGCAGAACGGTAAATAATAGGCGTTAGAGTGTCGAGAAGGCCAGCTGGAGCATTGGGTGCTGCTTCAATCCGCTTAGAAAATTCTTTGATCGCATTGTGAACAGTTTTGAAATCGCTCTTAGGATCCATCGTGTACCGTAAAAGTTGATAAGTTCTTCGATCATGGAGCTTCGCATACTTATGTAAATCTTGACTAGTACGTAAAGGATCTGGAAGGAATTGAAGAAGATACTCAATAACTGCGCCAAGTTTCTGTTTAACATCTGCGGCATCACCTTCGGTCACTCCGCCGTTGAAATCTTCGCATTTCTTAATATAAGCAGCGAGTACATCAGAGTATGATTTTGTTCGGGCCTGTATAGCGAAGAAAGCTTTCTTGGGCTTGGGATCGAGGGATCGAACTAACAGCAAAATACGTTCTGCTCGAATTTTATCTGCATCGAATGGTTCATCGGAAGATAATTGTGATTGAGAAGCGTTATTCTTTGAAATTTTGGCCTTGGAAGGTGGATAAGTCAAAGGTAAGAGCTGTTCGAACATCACATGATCCAAGACAACGTTAAGTTCTAAATCATTGGCAAAGAAACCTTCGAAGATTCTCGAAGGAATAGCACCCAATGACGCGATCACACTCTCGTTTCCTGCCGCAATCTCACCAGTTGCTACACCCCATATCGTACCAAGTGTTGTCATGGCCTCTGCTCGAACGGCAGGTTTACGGTCTCTCGCTCGATCTGCCAGATTACTAAGAACAGAGCCGGACTTGACTACCGGGCCATTAGGTACAAGTTTTTCCATGATATCCACCAAATTGAAGCTTGCAACAGCTTTCACAGCAGCAATTCTGACCTTCTCATCTGGATCATTTAATTTCTCCGCTAATGACTTGACCAATGCAACTTCGTCTTCTCGGTTCAATCCAATACCTCCAGCCTCAGTCACCAAGATTCGCCCAATAGCTGTGGTCCAGGCTGAACGAATGACTGGTGATTTGTCATTCTTTCGTCCGATGAAGCTATGCCAAACTGATGGATGTGTTTGAGAAAAGGATTGTGGTGAACTGGGTTTGACGAGAATACTTGTGATAGGCGTTACTGGATAGTCATCAAGTCGCACGGGAGGATACGCAGCTGGATCCATATTAGGAAGAGGCGGTGGTCCCGCAGCACCAATACCAGATATGATATCTCCCAAAGTCTCGGTAGCCAACAAGCGCAATTGTATATTCTCTGCTGACAATTCTGCCTCTACTTGGGGAATAACATTTTGTAAAACAGAAGGCGATGCGCGCCATAGTTCTCTTAGAAGTCTGTGGGCCTTTTCGAGTTCTTTCAAATCCTGATCTGATGGTCCTGTTGGGGCATCATCTCCATCTGAGTCCGCATCGTCCTTTCGATGTCCGTTCGATTTGCCTCCACTTGTAGAAACTTCCATCATAACGTCGTTGAAATACTGACTGACGTAACGAGACATCTTATCAGAGCAATCATTACAGATAGTCTTTGCCATATTGTATGCTTCTGGGAGGTCTTTCAATAGCAGTGTAGATTGCTTGTCGTCGGCCTTTGCACCATGCTTGCCCTTACCTCCACCAGGTGTAGCAGCTCGTAGAAATTGCGCAACAATAATATCGATAACTGGTGCTCCCACGACTGGCGCTTCGTCGACCAAAGTAACCAAACATTGCGACATGTTATATTCGACATCTTTGCTTATTTGCTCGTCTGTAGAAGACTTCAAAGAACCGGAACATATATCGAAGAAGGTGCTGAAAAGATGGAGCATAAGATCTTCGGCATTAGGAAGATCTGTCATCAAAACGATACTCTTAACTTCTGAGAGAGATGACAAAACATATTTGTGTTCGGTGTTGTATGGGTGGCTAGGATTGGCAAGGGCTGGTAAAATGATACCAACGAAGAAGGTGAAGATGTTCTAGTAAAGTTAGATCCTAATTTAGCAGCGTAAGAGCCCGAGAATGGTATACCTTAACCTGCGAACTAGTATATGGTGCGTCAGGAGCGCAAAGCTTCAATATATCCACTAAACAACAAGCTGTCCATGCCTTGACTCCGTTGTCCTTATGATTCAATAAATTTTGCGCCGCGAGCTCTTTAGCCACTACTGTCAATGATGATTTATCTATTTCCTCCTGATCCATATCCCGCAGCTCACTCGCAAGCTTCTTAAGCCTCTTCAAGAGAGTTTCGGTCGCAATGGGCTTTCCTGCGCGCCATGATAAAGCTTCGTTGAATACTAAGCTGGTAGAGGGTTCTTCCGGTTCAGGGGATTCGATCGCACCGCGGCGCGGAGCCATTTTCAATTGAAAACTCCAATCGCGGAGTCGTAATTTTGGTAAATATTTTCGTTCGAGTCAATTTGAAGATGTGCACAGTGATGGTGGGTTTTCTCGTGGTTGAATGCGTTTGACGGTGGGTGTATTGAGCTTATTGCATGGGTGAATGGAGGAGAAATCGCGTGTAGTACCAAAGTGCTCTGAGACGCGTTGATTAAGCTTTTTTGGGTAATCGCGCTACGGGTACATAGCGCATCACCTACAATACAACAATGTAAACGTACCGATTAATAAACTTTTGACTTCTTGATTATAGAAATTTAATATAGACAATCCATACTTCTCTATTGTTCGAATCTGATATAGACAATCTGTACTTCTCTATTGTTTGAATTCGACATAGACAACTTGTATCTATCGATTGTTTGAAGTTGATCTAGACTATCCATCTGGTAACCTTACAAAAATCGACAAATTTCACTGGCAGTGTCGCCGTGGTCCGTTTATCATGCGATAATTGGACAATCAGATAATAGCCGGTCTTTTTATCATCTAGTACGGGTATAGCATGCTGTAACGGATAGATATATCGTCTTCTCGGATGAGTGCATACTACTTGTAGACAGTTTCATCCACAGCCACAGTATACAAGTCGAGCTTGGAATCATGCTTGTGTTCTAGTACTATAAGACATTGCTCTAAAACTTATATGCCAGTAGTTGGCCTCCTCGTATGGTTGTACATCCTTTTCTCCAGATTCTCAGGATATAAAACACGCATTGTATGGACGATTTGAAATCCAAGCAAAACACTTGGGGAAAGGTGGTCTGATATCTTTGACTGGATACTTAATGTTGCTATCCTTTAGGAAAGAGCACGCATGAACTTGCTGCTAGATTCACTATCTCAAGGGTATGATAGTTCAATATCCACAGACAATTTCTTCACAAAAGTATCCTGCTACTCCTTGATGAAGAGAATGATCAAGCATAACTAGGGGGCCAAGCTCGAGACCATGGCACCGGACATCAGCCTGAGAGATACCTCTCACGAACCAGCAAGCCCATGATTGAAGCAACTCGTCGGCCTTGAAACCATGTATATATCTGAGTCGGGTCTTATGGTGATCCATTTCGTTTGTTTCTAACTCTCATGATTGAGATGATGATGGTATTCTTAGAGTGGAAAGAAGAATGGCTTCAATACTATCATCATCCAATCTTGTTTTCATGCCTCTGGAAACATTCACCACGAAGACAATTCAGACATTAGCAAGAGAGGTCTTTTCTGGGGTGAAAATGACGCTCCGCTGGCCCTTCGGGGACCACTGCCGTGGAGGCAGAGTATTAGGATCTAGTTAAAAAAGGTGTTCTTCATCTTTATATGGATTTTTATGAAACGGCGCCAACTATGTCTGCTATCGGCACTCGAACCTGATTTTTGTTCGACATCATGCACTGAACTTCGACCAGATATGGTATGATGAGAAGGAAGTGAATCTATTCCATGTGGCTAGCGATGTCCCGATGAGATATCTGCTTTCCATTGAGTATTGGATATATTGATTACACCTACTGGTATGCTATCTTTGAGAGCTTGAAAAGCTTCTACTATGATGTTTCAATGTTTGCTTCGAGTATGCCCAGGTGAAGATAGCAATATCACAGTTGCCATTTGAGGACAAACAACTTTAACCCATCAAGGTATATTTCACTCTAGCAATAAGCTGAGATTACGTATTTCTTAGATAAAATTAGCCAGTCTAAGTAAAAATTCTCTAAATGATTCTTTTATTGCTGTTATGAATTCACCTCAAAATTGATTTCGGTAAAGACCTTCGGGCCGAAGAAAAGTCACAGCCTTCTTCCGTTAAGAATCACCTCAGTTTTCAAAATATCAACCTCTCCTCTCAATCCTTCTCTAAACCAAAATATTAACACGCAAGATAAACAAAAATCGTCATATTGTTGATCAATTTGACAGACCACATTCGTTTTTGAATCCCATCCGATTATCAAAACACCCTTATTGTCGTCTTTATATCTTCCTCTCCTCCTTTCTCAATCTCTTAAGAACTCAAAACTACTTTCACTTCCTCCAAACAAAAAGTCTTCTCAGAAGCTTCCCTCGAAGATACTTGACGCCGTATCCTTCATCAACAAAAATAGAAAGAATTCTCTTGGATTCATTACAATCATCAAAATGAAACTCCTTTTGAGTATTCCTCTCTTTGTCTCTGCGCTGGTTGTTGAGGCTACTTCTGGTGGAGATGCAGGTAAATGTCACGTTCCGATCTTCAAGATACAAGTTATCACTATGGATCAATTTCTAACTTCTGTTCATACAATGCAGTCAATAATCAAGTCCATAATGAGGCTCGAGCCATCTCCAACGGAGGTCTTGATCTACCAGGAACTTCACTTGTCACTGTCAATAATGTAGTTGTCGCATCAACACTAGCTTCTGCCTTCGGCGACTCCTCTGCAGCTGCATCAAGTCTTTCTGATAATTTCCCCCCTGTTAGCCCTGGTCATACAAATGTTCGCAGCAGCACCTATGAGTCTACAACTGTTGTTCTCTCTACTATCACTGTAACACCACAGCAATCAGTTGATGTCACTCCCGTCACACAGGCTTCCACTTCTCCTTCTGCTATTGATAGCCAAGGGTACGTAAATCAATTAACGTTTATGTACTGTACTAACGAAATATAGTGCTGCTCTCGTTTCTCCAACCAATTCTGGTGCTGCGATTACATCTAACCCGTACGTATTCAACCATTGACAATTTTATGGATTGGAGCTGATTTCTTGCTTAGATCTCTAGCCACTTCCGATATCACTCAACCATTGGTTTTGGTGACATCTAGCTTAGAAGCAGAGCCATCTTCTTCGGCAGCCGCCATCGCTCCTCCTTCGTCAATTTTCCAGTCTTCTGCCGTTCAATTATCTATTATTGAATCTTCTGCAGCTCCAACATTAACCGCCGAATCCGCTCCAGATGACCAATACACTTTTTCATCCTCCCGTACTGAATCTTCGGCTGTTCTATCTACTATTATTCCATCATTGTCTTCGCAATCCTCGACAATTCAACCAACACCACTTCAATCATCTGCAGCTCAAACATTGACAGAAAGTGGTATCAGTCAAGCTTTGATTGCTCCAAGTCTTCCAACAATCAGTACCAGTGATGCCCCATTTCTCAACATCACTGCTTCAACTGTTCAATCATTGAGTAAGTCTGTGACTTACCCAAACTATACGATTGCTTCAGTTTCTTCGGCATCTAGTCTATCTATCTCTGCTGCCTCTATTATTGTCGGAACACCACCAAGCAACTCTGCAAGCATTCCTACAGTTACTCCACCATATAACAATGGATCAAATAGTTTAGCTCCGGACAACATTGGCACAACCTCAACCTCAACCACAAGCACAACAACAATCACTTCAACAACAACTCGCACCGGTACTATCACTAAGACCATTACAAAACCATCTGCTGATATTACTTCTCAAAGTATTATAGGCAAATTTCCTGACACTGATGGTCCATCCCCAGCTGCGCCCACTAGAGAAACCTTCACTTCTAGTGGACGTACCTGGACTACAACCGAGACTGGTCCTCCAAGTACTGTTACTGCATCTCTAATGTTGAATCCATCATATTCTGCTTCTAGTAATGGGGGTGTTGTTGTTGCTTCCAATGGTGCTGCGCCATCTTTCGGAGCTTGCACTTGCCCATCCCAAGTTACCGTCACTGTTACCGCAACACCATTTGTTGTTACAGGTGGTACACTTACAGCTACTGGTACATTAATTGCATCATCTGTCAATTCTCCAGAGGAATCTAGCGGTTCTTCATCCCAGACAGCATACTATCCCCCAGCCCAAGCATCATGGACCACACACAGTATTCCTGGATTCATCGGTGTTACCATTCCAAGCGGAGGCATGTCCTATCCTCCTAAAGAATCGGTCACTTACTCACCTTCTACTGCCCCCACCAATTCTCCTTCCCTCTCTCACAATCATCCAGACATGAGTATAGAACCCACACCAAACCTTAGTGTCATCTCCAACTACTCCACAACCAGTACCGGTAGCCTCTTAAGCACAGCAGTAGGAACTGGCGTCGGCACAGCCATTACTCCGAATTATGCCCCTACTACCAAACCATCAGTTAGCCTTCCACTAGCCGCTTCAGTCACCCCGACCATTTACACTGGCAACGCTGATGTCAATGTCGCCGGAACTGAATCCGTCGCCTTAATCGTCGGGTTCGTCGCTCTTGTTCTTCTTTTCTAATCTCTTAAATACTTCATTTGAAGAGAAGATCAGTCGAACCTTGTTGTAAAACAACTAGATGAATTGAAAATATGGTGTGGCGATGTGTTACGAATCTCAAAGTGGTGGATATCCAGAAATGAGGAAATTGCATTTATTTATTTACTTGCTCTTTCTTGCATCTTTCTTTTACATACCTGACTACATGCCTTTAGGATTTTTCGTCGGAGGATAGGATGGATAGGGCTTGCAGGATGATCTTGCCAACGGCGTACAGATTAGGATTTTAGAGGCCCAGATTACTTTCTCTTCTTTAGTTAGTCTTTTATGAATTAACGCTTTTATGAATTATACAGGATATATTGATGTAAAATGCATGTGGGTGAAAGTTTATGTGATTATATTTCACGTATCGACACCAAGAGGAATTACTTTGTTGGTTGTGTTCCCAGGTTGATCAACTTCTACTTGCATGTGATGGAGAGTAGAAATATTAGTTAGACAGAAACGAACCTTCGTGAAATCCACTTTCAGAATGCTCATTTAGGTAGTGACTAGATTACTCGTTATCTTCGCAGTTCACAAGCTCTCTAGTCTGAACCATCTTCTATCTCTCTCTCTTGCGGTGTGTTCTCTAGATGGCGCGCAGATTTTTGAAGTATGCAATTCAAATATCAAAAGAAACATCTGAGCCGGGGCTCAGGTGGACCCTTGAAGAATTTCACTACTATT